GAAAATAAACCGAAACAAATGCGTCGAGTTACTATAAATTGTAACAACGAAAATAAAGAGCAGGATATGAGCGCAGTGTGTAATGAAGCAAACTAATCAGAAACGATGAACTAAATATGTAGCTCAATATTCCAAATTGACGTCGTTATTACTGTGTATCGTATTATCGTACCCCTCTCGCTCTCCCGTTCAGCATGAGAACAATAAAATCCTTCTGATTCTTTTGTTCCCATTTTCTTGCTTCTCCTGTCCACGCCTATTGTTCAGCAGTGGGGAAGAGTCGTGGGATTAGGTCATCTCGGCCGGATTTTTTCAAGCTCCTAGAGGAACCTTACCTGCGTGTATGCACATGGGTGATGATGACGATGGTTGGTCTCTCTAATCACCATCCTGGGTAAAATCGGAGGTGCGGTAGGTACATGGTCTTGGTCTCAAAGCTGCCCCGGTGTTTTGCAACATTGTTCCTTATTCTTCGTTGTGGTCCATCTCTGAAGAATGACAGCCAGGAGTCCATTGTGAATTATGATTTCGGTAGTTGTTTGAGTTGTTTGTATGTAGTGACATTCCTCCCCTTGTGCTCTCCTCGGCCCAAGGAATTCTCTCCTCGTTGCCACCTTTTCTTCACGTTTCCTCATCAATGACGATGATGAGACGCTCGTCATGCGAGTGGGGTGCATAGCCAGAGGTGGATGGAAACCACTGGAAATCTTGGAAGGTTGTTGTATGGATGGCTGCAAGATGAGGTGAGACGATGAAATGAATGAGGTCCGCAATAATGGAAGGGAGGACCCCCCACAAAACTCTGGACCCTGGCTTCCAAACAAATTTTTAACACTCCAAATGAGCAATGTGGAAAGGTTCGGTTGAATGGTCACCCATTCGCCATATGGCGTCGGTTCATGCAGGATTGCATGTCGTCTCACTTCCGCTTGGTTCAATTTGGCACATACCATACAAACTTAGCTTTCACCTACTAACAATAAGTAGCAGCAGTGCTTATATGCATATGTAGATTGCATATGCAGGCATTATAGTTTGTTTAGTAGAATCTATGCAGCAATTTATAGAGCAAGCCCTTCAGAGTTCGGAGAAAAGATGCGTAACGCTTTTATTTAGAAAGCCCGAGTCGTGATTGTTGAAAGTGAAGCCCGGAACAGAAAGTGAAACTCTGTGTTTATGCAACTTGTGACGTGGAGTACTTTATTGGGTGGCATTTCGAAAAACCAGAAGATCTTTGACCCTTCTTGTTCCCACATGCTTACTCCATCTCGCTCTCCCGCACGCCTTCCTATTTCCGAACACGGAAGGACTCGCCTTCTCAGAGCTGCTGTCTACGTGTACATGTTTCGACATGCCATAACCGTAATTGGGTGGCAAATACACACATTGGCTAATCTACTCTCGATTCCATTGCGCAATAAAGACGAGGAACATGATCCACTTTGGAGGTGATTGAGAAGCAATAAAATTTGGCCTTAATAGTTCCCAGTCAATGATCTTCCAAGCAAATGTGACGTTTGCTCTGATGCTGCACCAACATTTTCGCATAAGCCAAGGTAAAATCTTTGCATGGCACAACATTAATACTATTTTGCCACGTCCAACAACGTATGCAATCCGTTCCTCCTGGAATCATATACAATTGTGCAGAAAAATGTGCAAGATTGAGTCAGATATTGATGAAATGAATCCAAAATCTGAGTAAATTTCGCACTATTGGACGGAATTTTTGTGAGGTAGGGATATGGATTTGGAGGGGCGAGGAATGTTGAGGGTGCATGAGGCATAATAAAGGTGGTCAATAATGCAGCACATTAAGGTATAATTGTATCACTTGCTCTGTGTTGGTGGTGGTGCCGGCAGATTTTGCTTTTGAACTCTTGAGCCTTTGTGTGATGAGAATGAGGAGCGACTGTTAACAAGTTGAGATGTTGGTGCACCCGTCGTCGGCATCTTTCATCTCGGGCTTCCTCTGCGAGAAAAGTGTGAAAAGATACCTTTCCTTGGCTACATCTCACTCCTATCACTGCTCTAATGGTCTGCTCCTTCACAAATAATAATAATAATCATCATCATCACTGGATGATAATGCATCCCACAGTCAGCTCAATCAATACTCGCCCTCCGTAACCCAACAGCAGCGAGCATAATGGCGATCAAGAAGAAGACGAAGAAGAAAGCCCTCAACCGGGATTAGCGAGCTCACTCAAATAAAACGGCTTACAAACACTTCACTCAATTCTTTCAACTTGATCTCAAAACAATTTAAGCGAAACCTTGTAAAACTCTTGTCGATTGTGGAGGAAAACTTGTCATTATTATTTTGCATACACGGCTTTTCCTCGTGCAAACGTATTTAGGGGCAAATATGCATTAGTTTTTCCTTTTGTCATCGCAATAAAGTTGTTAAAATGTGGGAATTTAGTGAGGAGTAAGAAGAATAAGAGGGAAAGAGACAGATAATATTTCTCACCTTTTATGAATGAAAAGAGCAGGAGTCGCAGACATCCTGTTTTGAATGAGTCGTCTGGCCTCTCATTGTTGAGCTCTGGGGAAAAGTTGCCTGTTGTGTGGCGATAAGTGACTTCTCACCTCTCATCACTCTGCCAATTCACTCTTTTACAATCCTACTCCCCGAAATCCACAAAACGTGAGAGAGACTCGAGGAACTTTACCCATTTTGCCAGTTTCTTGCTTAGAAATTTTTGACCCACCTTTATGGCTCAGATATTTACCCATCTCTCGACCCCGCTGGATTTCCATTAGTTGCTCCTCACCAATAAGTATATACCTGCGCTCATGTCGTGAATGGGGTGGCAATAAAATCGAAATGCAGTGTAATCCCTGGTGCCCGGTGTCAAGCAGGTAAGTTTGGTCACAGCCGCCGTGTCGCACCATGTTCAACAACACAGACAACTTGGTGTTACTTTGCGTCCTCTTGGAATTATTTATGACTTGGTCAATTTTAGAAAACTTCCTCGAAAATCTGAAATCCATTTTCACAGAAATATGTTTTTTTACCAACAGCGCAGGATAAGCTGTTTATTGGCGAGAGAACATGAAAATGTGTTCATGTACTCCTACCAATTGTGTCCAAGTTAATTGTGATACAATGCGACCCAGGTAATAAATTTAATTTTGGTTTAGCCATGCTTTAAGTGGTTTTGGTGGTGCTGGTGCTGGACGTATTAAAACTGTCTTAATTTTTACCTATTTATTAAAGGCTAATATTAGTGGACCAGTTACATATGTATGGATGGATGGCCCTTATAATCCACCGACCGAGGGCTTATTTTGTACGTTTGCATGCTTCTTGTGCGTATGCACGTTGTGTGTTTTGGCTGTTTTGTGTCTGGTATGCCACACCGCTGGCAGAGAATTGTCTGATAACTTCATTTCATGACTTTTACCCCGTTGCGTCGTCGTTGTTGTTGTCCTTCGGTAGACAGAGAATCGCCTGACATGTCGACGTTTATCACAAACTTGATGACGTTTATGGCTTTGAAATTATGATTTTTTTTATAAATTCTTGAAAACCGGCGACTTCTCATTGAAATGGTAAATTCTATAAACAACTGCATACCAGCCTCCCGGTACAAATTAATCGCACGCAACAACAGCATTTGCTAAAAATTCTCCACACAGCACTTACTTTGCTGTAAGACTGTCATACAAGTCTCTGTCCAAAATTTTAACAGGAATTTGGGCAGATGTTGAACACGTCTGAAATTGCTGAAATGCAATGCAACAATTAGACAATTGTGTGTACAAAAAACGATTTTGTATCCATCCTCCATAAACGTGTACATGTGTTCCACCCTTCACCTTCTTTTGGGTCGATGTATTCGTATAATTGTTGTGTCTAAATTCCATGGTACGAGATTTACTTAAAATCCCTGACCAAACCCTACAATTATCAGAACGACCTGCCATGCACTTGAACTTGAACTGATAAACCACAAACTAACAATTCTAGTTCAGTTTTCCTTAATTACCTGAAACTCTCGCCAGCACTGTTCCACTTCACAAAAATTACAAACCCTTCTTCGCCTCCCATAGCCCATATTCTCCTGAGAAAAGGGAATCTTATCGAGTTCCAGATTTTCCTGCCCCTGTAAAATCCCTGTTAAAAAAAACCTCTGGAAATATTAGCCTCTGATTTCCAGGTAATTTAGGGCAAAAATAAATAACATAGAAAGATATGCACAGTTGCATGCAATACGTCATCGTATGTACAAATGTAATTGCATGACATTATCAGATGCAGGCACTTGAGCTCGGCATCCTCATATGATGACGATGACGACGATTGTAATGACTACAACTTCTGCTTCTCGCATTCCGTAATTAGTTATTCGTCTTTTCATTAGTCGAGTATTTTACTTCTTCGCAACTCAATCCTCAAGTTGTGCTGTAATCCTAATGAGTTGAGCAAATGGAAAATATCTCATCTTCATCCAGTGTGCAGTTGTCGACTGGTTTTAAGACCTTATAAACGTTCAAAGTGTTAGTGCAAGCAAGAGCCTTTGTCTTATAACACCACTCACCGCACCGCCGACCTACCTTACCTCCTTCCTATACCACCAACAGACAGACGCTCGTAAGGCCAGAGAAACAACGTTGTACAATCTCTTGACTCTAATCCCTTTAACATAAAATATATCAATTTTGTCTCAAGTTCCTGAACTCCGTCCATACAATGGGAACAGTCCGTCCACTCTAAATATCTACAGCACATTCAGTTGAGCATCTCTTTATCAGGTAGTATGACAAGTAGTACCTCCAGTTGTAAATACCTCGTCAAGAAAACTTGGACAGGGTGAGGCATGCACAAAGGACACAACAATGTGGAACCCATGCGGATCTGTTGCACGCAGCAGCGTTAAACTCGTCGCATCGTTCAAAGTTCAATATTTACTCCTAGCAATGACTATTTATGACATGACGCGATTTAATTTTTGATACATAATTACTGATTTATTTCTTACGACGTCATTTTGAAGAATGAATGGAGTATATTTATTTTGAGAGCAGGAGAACGTGATGTGGGAAGACCCCAGACGCGAAGGACCCTGGTTGACCATTTCCAAAGATATATCCATTTCCAAGGCGGTGTACCGGAATCCAATTCAACCTGTTCTCTTTCTCTCTCCGTCCTTCCTTGTACATGCTTATTGTGCTTATGCTGCCTACCTTTGGAGCCCAGGTATGCCATTCCACAAGCACTGCTTACTTGCATCGATACCACCACCAGGAACATGTCCACGAAATCTTTCTCAGGAGGAAAATGAAGGGAGGACCTTTGGAGGAACACACAAAGTGGTGGAAAACCTCTGCTGCTGCCTGCCTACACACTCCATGCACATATGTAAAGAGCTACGTAAGCGCAGTATCTCCAATATCTTGTTCGAGGTCCATTCCACGGTCCATCCATCCATCTAATACCCTCTCCATTTCGAGATAGAGAAGGTAATCACAACGGTGGTGTGATGGTGCAGCAGCAGCAACGTCGTGGTACTGCTTTCCACTGAGTAAGTGATCCTACGCTCAACGCAACACCGGAAAAAAAGCTCCACAACCAAACTAATCCATCCATCCATAATAACGCTGCTCTTGACTCTGTTGTCAATCCAAAAAATTTCTCACTTTTGTCCCGTGTTTCTCCACCAACTCATCACCAGCAACGCACGCTGCACGTCTCGCAAAAACTGGGTAAAAGTACGGTAATTTTGCATGGAAAAAGTGCCAAATTGTTGGTGGCCCAGTCCGTCGTCTTTGAGGAGACCGAAGCAAAACAAGTGTTGAAAAGTGATCCTCGGGAGGAGCGAACATAACTCTTTGAGACTTCTTTTGATGATAATATCATCTCAAGTTTCTCATATACAAACAAACTTAGGAATCGTTAAATTTGACCCCACGAATTTTCTGTGTGTGGCTCGCTGCGGGATTTAAAACTTTGAGCACGAATCGTAACGTCGGACAGTTTTGATTATACGAGATTACATTTCATTTTCCATGTCCAAATCTTGCGTTACATTCGAACCGACGACGAGTGCCTCACATCACAGCCAGACGAACGAGATATCGTAATAATCGTGTCAAAATAAATAGCATCACGTTGACATGCTCAGGCTGCTCTCCTCATGAAATAATGAGTTCAATTACAGTCGATTAGCACAAGTAATTGAATCAGAAGGATGAACTAACAAATTGTGGCAGCTCAGTGTCCAGTGGAGAGAATCACAACACGAATGTATAACCATTAGGGACTTGTGTTTCAAAACCTGTCCAAACACATCTCACAACCGCCACCACCTGCAGATTCGCCTTAAAAGCGCATTCATTTGGCAACCCGTCAAACCTTGTTTGCATGAATGTTGTCCCGATTTGGTCAAATTCCCCTTTTGAGGCCGGAATGACTCTGTAAATTGCCAATTCAATTATGTCACTTTGTTAAAGAGAGAAGATAACCACTGTGTCGTGGCCTCAACCATTCTGCAGACAGTTTCAGTCTAAACAAACTGAAAAAAAAATTATTAAACGTCAAAAACAAGAAGTGGAAGCTATGCACTTCATTTCTACCCACGAATCAAGATCGTAAAGGATTCACGACGGTCATTATCATCGAGATCCAGTCGAGTCGAGTACCCAACAACAACTTGCTCCTGCTGTATTGTTTAGTCTCAATTTATAGTTGGACTCACGTAACTCGTTCTACTTGAACTTTTGCACACATGTAAAAATTGTATCAATTCGCGACCACTGCACTGCTCAATTTTGTGGGGTCAACCAGACTCAAGTTGTGAACTCCTGTCAGTACGTACACCCTCCTTGAGAAATTTCTGCTGGAAACAATGGGAAAGTGGACCACCGAGTAACTGGGGACTGCAATTTCTGAAAAGTCTTCAACTTCTGCCAACCCACGGCAAAGACGGACGGAAGGAAGGAAGAGGCGATCCTCCCACAATGGACGGCCAGTGGCTTCTACTCTTGTCAGTTATTGCTACCTCAATTCATCTCTCCTCAGGGTATGGAAAAAAATGTCCTCTTGCTTTTACTCATTTGACAAGCAAATTAATATTTTGTCAGAATTTGGAAGAGTTGTCTCTCGTCCACCGACCTCGCCATGCATTGCAGCACTCTTAACGTACGTATTATAGGAGAGAGCATTACGTAATAGGAAATATGTGCATGGATGAAATATACGTATTTCTTTCTCCTCTTCTTTTTATCGTACTCGGCGTGAGATGAATTGGTCTCGATCAGAGTCATGTCCGTTTGGGAGATGCGTGTAATATTTTTAGGCTCAATTTGGTGTGGTCCTTCCTCTGTAAAAAATTATTGTGTTTTTATAAATTCCTCTCCACATTGGTTTCAAGAAATCATAAGGTTTTAACAGTTTGAGTAAAAGTGCATCAAGGTGCACTCTTCGGTCGGGCAGGTACATAAATAGGTCTGAAGTTAGCAGGTTGTGCAGTGTGTAGTTTGTTAGTGGCATGCATGATAATTTTTTGTTTTAACATGGTCCGAGGGGCTGCAGAGGTCCATGATTTACTCATCGCAGTGAGAATTTGGTATAATAAGGCCCGTCCCTGAAGGAAGACCCTCAGCAACTCATCTCTCGGTGAAGGTACGACGGCCAACGTGCAGTGGGAACAAATCCGTCCAACTTGTTGATCATTACGGCCAATTTTACATTACATTTTACTTTTACTCCTGTCATGACATACACTTTGGACCTCACTTCATTTACTTCTCCTCTCCGTTTAATTATACACATGTGATCCTCATAAGTGAAGCAGGTAAGAGAGTGAGTGGTGAGAGTATGAGGTGCATCAGGACGATGTGGTCCTCCTGATATAGTCGTCGTCAAGAATGCAACATTCAAAAGAAAAAGATTTCGGTCGGACAGTTCACATATTATTGAGTGAGAGCCAGCCAGCCAGCCAGCCAGAGAACAGATGAGCTTCTACTTCTTCGTCTGGCTGGATTATTGTTAAATGGTTAAAATGTTAACTAAAGTAAGTAAAAGGCCTTTAAGGCATGCATGGTAAATTGGTTTGAAGATGTTGGAACACTTTAAAAGCTCAATCTCATCTCACTCTCTCAGTCCGTCGGGCATATACAACTCTGCAGACTTATGGAACGACTCGTCCTCCGTAGACTCACTTTCTTACTCCCTTCTTCTCATCCCTCTTGTTCCCATTCTTCGCGTATTATTCATTGTTGATTGCTTCCAGAGGGACTGTGCAGGGTGGACGTGTTTCGCCTCACCCTTGTCCCCACTCCCAGCCACGTCCCCTCACCCTGCACCGCACTAAAGCCTAGTACTCAGGACGAATGTTCACGCGGAATTTCATCGTGTTAAAATTCTGTTAAATTTTTCGCTGGAAAGAAATTCGTAAGCGGACAGAAAATACCACTATTCCACGTATATTTCGCTCATTTTTCACTCGTAGGTACTCAGGTCGTTTGAGCTGAAAAACAGGTTTCACTTTGCCCCATTTTAAATTAACCGCCCTGTCATTGAGTTGAAAATGAGATTTTGAGGTTGCTCCGCCCTCTTATTTTGGACTCACAATGCGATGGTGTGAAGTGTAACCCTCCGATTTGGTTGAAATTTCGAAATTACGTGGTCCATGTCAATACAACCAACGTTTCTTCAGGCAGTTTGTGCGATGGTTAGGATTTAGAAAAATATTTGAGGTCAAAGTTGAAAAATGTGCAATTTTTAGCACGGAAATAGAATTGAAGTTGAGTTTGCTTCCCCCGCCTGGTAAAAATCGCCCGTTTTTCAACTTTGACCTCAAATATTTTTCCAAATTCTGACCATCGCACAAACTGCGTGAAGAAACGTTGGTTGTATTGACATGGACCACGTAATTTCAAAATTTCAACCAAATCGGAGGGTTACACTTCACACCATCGCATTGTCAGAGGGGCGCGAGTCACTTTCCGCTCACATTTCACGTGAAAGAATTGCCTCGATTTAACGGAAACTTTGAGCTTACATTGAGCGAAAACTGCTCGTGCGGAAAATTCCGCTCAAGTTTCACGCGAAGAGCTGAGTACCACTCGGGCAGAATTTGAGCAGAATTTCTGCAAAAGTCGTTTTCCGCGCGTAAAGTCCATCGTGAGTACTAAGCTTAACGGGTGAAAATGCATGTTTATTCCATCATCTCCATGTTTTCCTCATTGTGCGATTCACCCGTCTTTCTCTGTCATAAACACAATGCTCGCACTGTGTCTCTAATCCTTTACTTTATTATTTCGATCCTGCTCCACAATTTCAGCTCAGCATTTCATCTCGAAATGTGGACGGCATTATATTTTCACCTCCATTCAAGGGCCAAGAAGTGATGATGCTTGAGCTAAAGGCTGTTGAATCAAATCAAACCAAATTTTCTGAACAGGGTTTGAACAACATGTGGACAAACAAGTGCAGTTCTGCTGCTGCGTTAAGGTCAGGTGAAGTGCTGTCTAGATTTCAAAGGAGATGGTGCATCTTTACATATGTAAATGTGCAGTGTAATTGTAAGCTGTTGTACACTCTCCTTGTCACCCACCCAAAATGCAGGTTATGTGGAGCTCTTTATGCATGTAACTAACATCGCCAGGAAGGAAGGAACCGTGTTCACGCCAATACGATTTGTATTTCGTATTCCTCGAATCCAATCTTATAATCCACTACAATTTATGATACTTTTTTTACGAATTGGAATAAGGATTTCTCGAAAAAAATGAGATTGCCATATCGTAAAACACTTAACCACATGTTGAAGTTTCTGGGAAGACAATTATAATTTATTTCTGTTTGATATTTTAACACCACTTTTGTCGGATTACAATTCTCAAAAGTGTGTTGAGCTTGTAGCAGTTATTGCACCTCAGAAGAAGAACCAGATTTCGTACATGTGCGAGTCTGTCCGTATGATAGATTTATGGCAAGAATTTGGTAATACTTATCTGGTCCAACATGTCGTCTCTCATAACCAACGCGTGGTTAGTAACCACTCGTTGCCTCCTATCCTATCTGCTCCACACTTATCACCTTTTACTGCCCCTGATGGCTGAGTGATGCCTCGTAAAAGTGTGTGTTATCTTTGGCATCTTGAAATACTCTCAGAATTGAATGACTTTACTGATCAATCAACTCCAAACAAAGACAAACTCTTAATTGAGTCTGGACTTCGAGCAAATATAGAAATTCCTCAAATTCTCATACTCTCAAGATCAAAGTCTTTTGAGACGGGCAGCGACTGCTCCGAAAAGTTGTCTGTCCCAAAAGTGAAGTTCTATTTAATTGTTCTTCTCATAAGTATGCCACCAATAATGGAAACATGTAATTATCATTGGCTGGCCACAAAACTGCACCTCCGTCGTCTGCGTTCGGACTGGATGGCCACGGTCATAAATCTCGAGGAAACCACCAAGAGAGAAATTAGTGCGTTATTACTATTACAACTGGGAGGTAGTGTCGTAGATAGAGTTAGGTGTGTGCCATGTACACATTTCACATGTATGTATGGGGTTTGCTGTAATAAACGTGTGCGAGACGTACTATAAACGGAATTGGTGCAGCTTAGTTTTGCTCAAAAATGGATTTTTTTCGTCTCATTTACCCACATTCAGCAGTGATTCCGTCCCGAGTGGTGTTCCTCTGAGGTCACAAGTGAGGTAAACGGTCTGACTTCCACAACAAGAAGTTTTGGCTGATTAATGATATAAACAGAAACGATGAGGGTGAAAATACTTAACATATTTTCCTAAGACAAATGTTTACCCCTTAGAAGCAATTTACGAGCCTTACACATCAATTTCCTCCCTCGACTTTTGAACCATTTTGAACCTTTTTTTACTCACACAACTGCTAACCCACGGATAACTGAATCACAACATTGCTTCGATTCAGAGACGAGGAAGGGTCGCTTCGTCTGGGTCCGTCTTTTTCTGGCCGGAGATAAATTGTGGCTACCCTGTATGCTGGATGATGCGAGCAATATACGTGAGGTTCCTTGTGTCCAGCCACGATAGTCTCCCATCCAAGCTCGTAATGAGAAATGGGGATGAATCAGTTTAAAATATACATCTGACCGTGGAGCCCGTAAAGAATTAGGACATGGGGATCGCACACGTATTGACAGCTCTTCATCAGTAGATCTAGATGTGCATGTACATATGTTGGTATACAGCAATATGTATGCTCGTGTGCTCGAGTTAGAATCCGATTTTACCACATTATTCAGATACGAACTAGCCGGAGACTAATTTATGTTTCAATGTGCTTGTCCATTTCAGGAGATTTGACGCCACGTCAGTGTCAGCATTCTCGTCGTCCGTGGTCACGCAACCCCACATGCCGACCACCACCCACATGCTCATCGACCCCTCGCGCCTGTGTCGCAAAGGACGCAACAAGAACCTTCGCGACTCAATGAACTTCATTCACGGGAAGACGCAGATTGCGGTGGCCACCGGCGGCAGGCGGCACCGGAGAAAAGTTCGCAGCTTTTGCAACAAGGAGCCAGAGATGATCCGCGAGGCGAAGAGGGGCTCTCAAATTGCAACCACCGAGTGCCAATACCAATTCAAGGTACTTGTATACACACTTGTTCAAGATATTAATTTTGTCACCTTCAACTCAATGCGACCAATTATTTCTCCATTGCCAGAATCGCCATTGGAACTGTTCCGCCCTCCCGAGGAGCATCAGACGCGTTCTTTCCAGAGGTTGGTGCACATTAATGCTCAGAATTTCTAATAATAGTGCTAGTGATTGTTGTGTATCAGAGTCTGCTTGGCTATGTAACCATATGCTCATTGTTATACACGTGTGTGTATATTTTTGTTCCTGTAAATTCTTTGCCGATCTCTAACAACTGTATCGAACTTGATAATATAAATACGTTGTCTCATTATCATGCAATTTCTATCTGACTACTGAGAATTGTAAGGAATATCAAAGGCATTTTACGGATGATGTGATGAGCAACACGAATTTTACAACCGGATTTCTTAAAATTTGAACGAGATTATGAGCATAATATGGAAATGTGTGTGAGCAGATAGGCTGAGCACCTGTTCAGCTCAACCGAGGTGCACATTTGGTAGGTAATTGCGTACGTAATTGTGTGCACCTACGTATGAATGTACATATCTTTCAAAAGGGGCATTTATGACTCTGCATACATAAAAACGGCCACCATCATCACGTTATCGCACTTCTTCCAGTCCTCTGACGCAGTAGTGAGCACTCAACACGGCAATAAAACCACGGCGATGAGAGAACCCTTGCAGGCAAAAGTCATCAATGTGCAGAATTTGACAGGATTCTTTATCACTGTTTTCATGCAACTAATGAAATTGGGGTAAACTAATTAAACTTAACGAGTTTTCTTTAAATCCCAGTGCCAGACAGGGCGCAGTGATTACGGAAAATCAACTCACCTCATTTCCAAAAATAAAGTCTGAAAAGGAAACTTGGAAATGCAGTTCATCGGAAATATGAGTAAACAGAGCCGTTTTGTGAAGAGTGAGTAAAATGAATGAACTTTACGACGGCTGCACAAAAATATACATATTTATCTTTGGTTGAGTATGTGCATACATAAGTGGTAAAACTTGCGTGTGTACAATTCACAAGATTATGTGTGGCAAAATTGTTGTCACCCTGTCCGCTTTTTCTGCACAACTTGGCCCGTAATGTCATTGTGATATTATTAATGTGCGAATTCGTTCATCCAAATCGCCCAGTGAACAAGACCTCCCACATTTCATTGAAAACAATCGGTTCAAGTTTTTTTACCTCTCTTTCTCTCTTGGCGAGACAGAAACCAGTTTTTTGGTCATCATAAAAATCTGTCAACCCTTAAACACAACTATTATGCTCAACATAGACTCGTTCGTTGATAGAATTTACAAATTATAAGAATTCCATCCGTGAAATTCATAAAATAAATTTTTCTCGAGAATGTCTGGCCGGGTTGCGGATATTTTTATTTCAATGTTTCATATTTTCTGTTCAAATGTCCAGATTTTCATTTAAAAAAACCTACATTAACTGAGCACAAAGGAAAATGCCCACATGTTTTCTAAATTTTGTAGTTATGCTTGACGTTATGCACAGGCCACACATCATCGTCAATGAGGTAACCTTAATTTTATTTCCCAAAGTGTCATTGCTTGGTCTACTGGTATACATACAAATGTATAGAAAAAGTGGCTAAAAAGTGGGACAAAGCTTAAAATTTCCGTTGTTGCGACCTCGTCCTCGTCGGTACGTGTGTGCCTTCCTTCTCTCCAGCAGTCTAATCTTATCGCATAATAAGGTAGAACTTTGTGATTTTGATGTATGGACTTGCTGACTTAATGAATTTGGGATAAGTGGAGATACCACTTTGGCTTTTACGTGTCAATGCAGTTAGTCAGCTTAATGAGCGAGTGAACGAGGGAAGTGATAAAGATAAGGAACGCATAAAGATAACAAGCTTCTCTTATCTCGCAAGGTGACTCTCATTCAGTCCTCCTCCTCTCTTCTCGAGGAGAAAGTTCCAGTTTTTGTGTCCACGATGCATCCAAATTCTAAATTCATCTCCAAATTGATCCTGGCTTCATGACGACGCGGAAGAGACGAACATTCTTATTTAAGAATTTGTTCCTGGGAAGAATAATCTACAAACAAATAAATAAATGGAGAAGCATTTCACATGCACGGATTGAGTAGCAGAGTAAATTTGACTGTCGAGATGCAAGGGTGAAAAAATCCTTGGTTTTCGTCTTATCGCCCAGTGACCATGCCACATACAAACCACCTAACACACAAAACCGAAAAAGGTGACCACCACACTGACGGGCTGACTGATACTGATGACTTGACGACTGCATGACAATTGACAATGACCCATCCTCACTAAAACCAACTCTCCAACGCAGTACGGTTTTTTAGCCTGAAAATGGCCCAACAAGCAGCAGCGTGGGAATATTATCCTACGCCGTTGACAACACTATATTGTCGGCAGTAAATCTTAAAATCTTCCCGAGACCTCTCTCTCTGCATTATTCGTTTATTTGGAGTGCTGAGCTCAGAGGTGGAGAGTATCACATCCCTTCGTCCCCTTTTGAACGGCGACCACCTCCATCATCTCATCATCGCATTATTCAGGAGGATCAGGACTCACCTTGTCCTCTCCATTTGTTCCGCAACGTTGTAAATGATAATTCAAACCAACAAATAATGGAACAATGTTCTCTCCAAGGCATTGTTGCTCACAGAGTTCAACAGAATTATTACAGGCCCAGCTCGTAAAATGAAAGTAAGAGTAGAAACTTGTACATACAGCCAACAATGTGCTGTTGGTTTTAGGCGTTTGGTTGGACTGGGCATTTAAAAAGTGGTGGTGGGAGGGAGTCATCAAATCACTATTGTCAAGTAGTGCATACTTTTTCGCTGTTGTGGACTAAAACAGTTTAGCTTGTTGCATGGTTTATGCCGAGGGATCTCATCCCATCGTACATACGTGTGTTTTAAGTGTGGATTGTTGAGCGGAGATTTATTGGTCATCAATCAGTCAGCGAACGAGGAGTGACGGATGATGGACGAAATATAGCTCTTGAGCAGAGATCCGTTAGTTGCTTTGTCAATATTGAGTCCATATTTCGTGGGGATGGGAAATTAAAAAAGTGAGTGAAAGGGTTGAACACAGTTTACTTTAGAATTGATTGATTACTTGCCCTTTTTATTGATTTTATGCGTGTGGGGCAAATATTTGAGGCTGCATTTTGCCTGGTCAGATGCGTTTATACGCATAAATATTCCTCTATTATTGAAGTTATCAACACATTTAAACCCACATTACATACATACTAATTTGGCATTTTCAATAAATTGAGTTTCCATTAACAAACTCCATTGAAATAGAAATGGGTTGGTGGATGGATGGTAATTGTCATTTTCTTGTCGAAAATGTCTTAATTGATCCATTTTTTTGTCATTTTGTGACGACTCATCCTGCTCCCCTTCTCTGTTGGCTGATTTTTCCATGAATGAATTCAAACCAAGTCTATAGGATGGATCCTAGAGAGAGGTAGAGACGGCTATTGTGAGGGAGAGAGGAGAAGAGGTAATGATGACGTGACGACGACCTGGCCACAACATTCACTGGCAGTCAGTGGGGATGCAGTTGTTCAAATTGTCAAATCAGAGATGCATCTTCACTCTCTTTGGATGAGTTTGTTGTAAACGTCGTGTTCTCTCTTGTGTAATGATAATGATGACTCGAACAAGGAGAAGAACAAATCTTGAGGGAATCTGTTCTCAATTCCACGGCTTACGGACGGACATGACATCATAATCCATCATTTCTGGCTTCTCATTCTGCACTTTCATCAGTCATCATGTCAATTGCGGCCGGGCGATGCAGTGGCCACTGGAGTGTCAACTCTGTCTCTCTGAGGCATCGCGACATGGGGCTCAATTCTTCTGAATTATCCAGAATCTACATTGTCCCACCTTTTTTATTGTATGCTATTTATTCGATCGGATCATATTAAAAAGCAATTTACTCGGCTGGGCAAAAAACTTGTACAATGACGACTAATTTTCAACAACTGAAACGAAACTTGACTAAAGATAAATAAATTAGAATTGATGCCTCTGCAGCGAGTCTGCAGTAAATAGGTGGCTGTCTGCTTTAACAAATTTAATGTCACTATGTCACTCCAGCCAAGGCGCTGATGACAGATTTATGGCACTCGCATTTCCTTCACACTTTGCTCAGGTGTTGCAGCCATTGAATGATTTCTAATTTCAATAAATTTTCCCCAGACACGAGAGAGACGGCGTATGTTCATGCCATCACTGCGGCGGGGGTGACCTTCTCAGGTAAAAATCTTACTTCTGCCCTTCGTAAATACGTGCATGTATATCTTGACTAAATGAACACGACCTTTTCAGTGACCCAGGCGTGCAGCTCAGGTCAAGTCCAAGACTGCCCTTGCGACCGAACGCTCTCAGGTAATAATTAATAATCAAGTAATTTGACTTTGACCCTTTTCCATACTGATATTGAGCACATGACCACATTGACCAAGTAGATTGGGTATTAACCTCACCTGCCCAAAGTCAATAATAAATTAGAAAATTCATCGAGGTGAAAAAATGTCTCTAAAAATTCCACCCGTTTGATTTTCTCACGGATACGTGAACTTGTGTAGAAATTCCAGTTCCACATTTCAAATTCCTCACAACCTTTAACTTTTCAACTTTATTTCACTCAAGGCTCCAGAATTCTTTGGAGCTGATGTCATTCTCGCATGTTCTCTGGTGTGCCGTACATCGTATAGTAGGAAAAAGTAGGAAACGTACGTCTGCTACAGAGTCAGCCGGTTTTGTCCCGTTTATTCTTATCTCAACCCTTTATTCAGACATTGATCTCTCGCAGTATATCTGCGTAGCGTTAGTCAGCATCCAGTAGTAAATACGCGGCGAGATGCAGGGCGCTCTGGCTTTTGTGGAGGCAGTTGTACTACAATATCTGAGACTTTATTGTTGCAGGGAAATCGACGGACGGGAGTTGGGAGTGGGGTGGCTGTGGAGACAACGTATTTATCGGCTATGTAAGTACTGATTTCCTAATGATTTCTACCCTGGAAAGAGAGATGAGAGTACATATGCATACGCTGTACTTGGCTGCATTGCAGTATACGATTGTTTTTATTCTTCACCTACGTAGGAGAGATCTAAAGATATCTTGGACATCAAAATTCGACGACGGAGTGATATCCGGAGTCTGATGCTGCTGCATAACAACGAAGCTGGCCGTTTGGTAAGTACATATATATTCTTTTCCCAAACCCGTTTGGCTAAGATGTGGAGATGCAGATTACACCCGTCTTATCGCATCCGTCAACATCGAACATGATAAATAGGAGATGAGTTGATGAAATTCATTACCATAAGTGCCGTAATATTTCATCTCATCGGATCAGTGGTGATAAGGAGGAAATGTCGTCACTCATTCCATCCCATTAGGCCGAGTGCTTACCTGTATTCCAGATGATGAGATCTTTGCCTCCTTATTATTCCCTCTCCGACCCGAATAAATGTCCGAGACAAGATTTTACAAATTGTTTGATAACCTATCCGTTACGACAAAGTTGTAACCATTAATTTGACAATGTATTCCTTGTCTTTTCCATTCATAATTTATTTATGCCCATGTTTTTTGCCTGCCTTCCTGATGAATTGCCCCTCACTCATCCTCAGTCTCAATTTATGAACAGATTGTCTTGCTAAATTTCAGGCCGTGAAAAACAACATGCGTCTGGTTTGCAAGTGTCACGGGCTGTCTGGATCTTGCACACTCAAGACTTGTTGGCAGAAGGTGCCTTCATTCCGAGAAATTGGCGAGATGCTAAAGCTGAAGTTTGACGGGGCAGTGCAGGTGATTCCGGGCAACGATGGCAAGTCCCTGGTGCCTTCGAAGGCCTCCATCAAGCCGCCAGAGAAGGACGACCTCATCTACTTTGACGAGTCGCTGGACTTTTGTCAGTACAGCAACAAGACGGGTTCGCTGGGAACGCAGGGAAGGGAGTGCAACGCCACGTCGTACGGCGTGGACGGGTGCGAGCTGCTCTGCTGTGGGCGAGGCTACCGGAGACGAAGGGTCACCGAGAGGAAGAACTGTAGATGCAAGTTCCACTGGTGCTGTGAGGTCACGTGTGACACTTGCATCGTCACAAAGGAGATTTACACGTGTAGATAAGCCCAATTATTGGTTAGTCCCCCCCCCCAAGAAAAACATATTTCCCAACCCATCTCGACCACTGATCGGTCGCCCCATAATTCGTACTCCCACAACGTTGTGTAAATTTTTATTGTAAATTTATCTGTAGAATTTTATTTGAGTTTAAGACGAAGGAGAATATTTATTTATTTTTTACTAACAATTATTTGACTTGTTGGTCACCAAATGCCTTTCATTGTAAAACTATTATGACTCAATCCTTGTTTAACTAGTTTAATTAGTAATTAGCTTAATTATTAAAGTACCGACTTTTTTGGGATTTGTATAATCTTGACTCTTTCATAGTATCGCTGGCACTCGAATGCGTTTCTCGTGAATCGCGAAGAATTCTCCAGTGCCAAAGTCAGTCATTTTATAAGCAATTCATGAGTGGCAGAGTAATTAAGGATTTGAACTGGTATTTATAATAGCTTTACCTTTGTAATCGCGTCAACTGACTGCAACCTTCAATGGATTTTACTGCTCTACTAACATTAAATGTTAAATGCGCTCAGAATTTCCACGACTATTTCAAAAAATAATATGATAATATTTGTAGTGCGGATAAGTTGGTACAATAAATTATTTATTTCAGTTTTTACAATCAAAGTGTCTCAATCAAAGTATTTCGTACCATTTGCTTGTTTAAAATAATAATTAAGATCCCACACTCATTAGGAAAATCATGGGAGCATAATGCAAAATGCATAATGCAGTTGGCATATGCCGTGACACGCACCACGCTCAAAATGCACTGGAGGAACTTGTCCAATAATAATTACAGAAAGTGAATGAAAAAGTGTCCTCGGTGGACGAAAGTCAGGGAAACACGAGGTGATGGATGTGAGTCACGGTCTGGTGGAGACCTCCACGCCGAGAGAGAGGCCAGATTGGAATCTCACCAAGTTAAAAGCCCGAAAATGAGACATTTAATTAGTTGAACTGTCAGCAGTCTGGGCACAGAGTCAAGTGCAGACTTTTTAAGGGAAGGCTGACACGAGGAGTCCCTTCTTCTTCTTCTTCTTCTTAAAAGGTTTACAATTTATGTGGGGAGCAAACTGGTTTGATAATGCACTGCACTGCTGAAAGAGCAACACGGAAATTTTGGTTGTTGGCTGGTAATTGTCAACCCGAGGGACAAGGTGCTTACAACAGTGACAACAATCAAGTAGGAAGCCGTAAATTATTGACATCTCTTCTCTGGAGGCTCATCAGGGGGCAAATCGTGACATAAAATTATGTCGCCGTTCCTTAATTTAATTCACTCTTGGTGCATTATGTCATCAACTTTATGCTCCTTTTACAAGAAGGGAAGTCTAAAGCGGGCATGATACGTTGTGGTTATGGCGGTGGTGAATTATTTCCACGTCGTTCTCAATAAATTGCCAGGCAGAAATGTGTACACCGCGATGATGACGATGAGATGACTGTAATCTGCAGATTCTCATCTCGCATCGTGCGCATTTGCCTATAAAACTTTGTCTTCCTAGTTCGCCATCGGTCTTTTCGACCAAATCTGTGTGGTAATGAGGGGAAGGATAAAGGTTGATATGAAACTTGGTGGAGAAAGATTGGAGTTGACGCGAGATTGTGTAGTTATTTAGCTGATCGTTGTTCGTTAGCTGGTAAGTTGTGGTGATGAGGGGCATTGGGTCCGGTGCGAAATGGGAGGTCTGCCAAGAACACAGGAAGACAAGCCACGAAGGGAAAGTTAGAGATATGACCTCCTCCTACCTTTCCTGCCGAGATGATGAGTTATTGTGGACTCCCCTCATTGACCGCGGGGGGTCAGCTCACATTTAGCCCACTCACTCCATTCCATGCATGTTCCTGTCCATTGTGCTCTGCCAGGTAATGGGTAAGCAGTTAATAGAGTTGTTATAATCCCACTACTTTGAATCTTCCGACCCCTCCTCTCGTTTTACTGGCGAATAAATATGATCTCAAATGAGACAACCGTTTCCCGCACTCCTTTATTTGCAAACCTAGATATCTGGATGAATTATCAGCTTTACCTAAGCGAAAAAAACTCACTGTAAACGTTGCAAATTTTAGGAACTTTAAATAAAGCGTAAGATTGTGTAAAGTTTGGTAACACGGTCTCGCTCTTTCAAAAAATTTACGACGAGCAATCAGCCAACTCATTACTCGTGAATGGCGGAGGGTGCACACAAAACCGTAAAAGGTTGCAATAAATAGCGTTTAAATCACATTAAAAACTCATTTCGTTACGACTCTCCTTTAATTGTCATCCCTGCTGTTTCACCCTCTGCGTCTTCTTCTCGTCCTCTTCAGCCACCAGTTGCCACCTCACTTTTCAAAATGCAGCCAGTTTTCATCTGCGACATTTTAACTTAAAATATTATTCAGACTATGTGAAACTGAAAATCCAATTTTACAAAAGTCAATAATTTTTCCGATCCTGCCAGGTTCATAATTTCCCAGCAACTATAACAGATATTCAAACGCGTCATGAGAAGGAAACATGTGCATTATTGTTATTATTAGGGCTTAATTAATTTTCTGGGTGATTGATTAATTTACATTGTAAACTGTCAAGGATGGAATTGAGCATGCTTTTTTCTCCTCCCTGACAGCGTGGCGAAGACGTTGTGTGCGTGAGATTTTGTGGGGTCGTGGTTTATGGTTTTGTTGTGTACCATTTGACGATGCTGCCACATCGTTATTGATTGGATGTCTGATTACTATTTAGTTTACTTGAAATAGAGCTAAATGACTTTGCCTTCATTAATTTTAATTATTCAAAAAATTCCAGAAATATTTCCAATTAATAAATTTCGTGAGTGGAGAGATTCTTCTGACTATTTTTACTGGAGTGGAGAGCTGAAGGGAAAAAAGGGGACTGGGAAATGAGACGTCCAAGAATTGAGAGAGATGAGATAACGCGAAACGACTTGGGAGGAAAATGACCCACTGCAGTGCACTGGGCCCTTGAAACACTCGCCCGTCATACTCTCAAACATTCCACGCTTTGATTTTTATTAATGATAGTTAATTCAACAGTCATGATCAAATTGATAAGTTCCCTTGCTCGTAGATACTTATACTTGTAGTCCTTACAATGCGTATCTCGATTTCTTCTCTCCCAAAGCACATAATCTCTTTCTTATTCTCTTACAATATAAAGCAAGACATGTTTTTCACGTTATTTGTGTGTCTTTTATTACAAGTCATAATAGTACCAACAAATACTGCGTGTTGCATTTTGCTATTTTTACATGGGTTTCATCATCATTACAAAGCTAAAGTGATCATTAGGGTATAAATTTAACAAGATTTAGCAATAATTTAGTGTAGATGGGCACGAGATTCACTCACACACAGATATCCATTCCATTCTGCTGTTGTGATGGCGAGTGTAATAAATATACTTTTGATACCCGTCGGTCGGTCCCTGCGTAAGTTTGAGACCAGCATTTGTAACAATTACTTTAAACGTTGCTTATTCTAATTCCAATAATTTATAACTCGGCCCACACGCAGTCTGCTTGTTCATCAGTTATTATTACTACTTCTTATTCCTTCCTCGGCCTCATCGCTGCTCTGGATGAGTTCTTCTTCGAGCATGTTGATGTCTGCCTACACAATGCCTGCCTGCCTATCTCGCAAACGACGAGTGACTCTTCCTTGTTACCATAATATTTCAATTTTGATAAAACTCTGAAAGTGGTAAAAAATGTAGAACGCTTTCACTTTTGTTTCCGCTGAAAATCTTTACAAGGGGGCAGAGGTAATCGACGACGGTACACAATCTGCACTATTTTGCTGCTGGGTGGTGGGGGGGGGGATCGAGAGACTATAAAACTATTGACTTTAAAACTCTATCTCTAAACCTACATTTTTAGACAAAATGACGACCGACTATATTAATTACATGATTATTTACATGGGTAAAATCTCTGCAAAATGAGAAGGGCTCTGACTGCGAGAGAAAGGTCTCAACTTGAGAAGATCGTCAAGATTATACGGCTACTAAAGTTGAGAGCGCAGTGTTTTTAAGCTTATTTGTAGTCTAGTGGTCGAGTGTGTGTAATTTTGTGAAGGATGGTCGGCTATGAAATTAAGAGGATGCAAACGATGGGTTTAAATACAATTCTTAAGCGTAACTTTGGCCATTGTTTGAAGGAGGTGGAAGAGAGAGGAGGACGAGCAGAAATGTATAAGCTGAGAGTTTACAACTATGTGAACACTTGAGGTGTACAATTAGGGATACACTTCTTTTACTACAAAATAATGGAGGATTGACAATGGGCACTTTCGTGGTGGATCAATATACACATTAATCCGACATGTATGAGCAGCAGTCTTAGAGGAAATTGGTGTAATAACATTTAAGCAAATTGTTGTCAGAGCTATTTAAAAAAGAGTAAAATGGCCAAAAAACGGCTCCAGCCATTTACAAAGTGTATACAAAATAGAACCAAATTCATTTGAAAACACAACCGCTAATGAACAATACTGATATTAAAAATATAATAAATAAACCAATAACGAAATAATAATGACTTTGGGTTTGTGTCAGTTGCAGGTCAAGCACGTTTGTTTCTTCTTTTTTATCGTCGTTCCCTTTCTTCTTCCTCGCCCATCCAACCACTCGCTGCAACTTTCGAAGCTTTATAGTCTTCCACGCAATAATCGTGGTGGTGGTGGTGGCGTTGATTGTTGGTTGGTTGGTTTGTGGTATAGACCATTTTTTAGTTTGAAAATCTAGCCTGTCGTCTCACTATATAGACGTGCACTTTACACAATAAATTGCAAAAAAATGTTTCAAAATGTCACAACTGCATAACCAACTATTTGCACATGTACATTGTCCTCGTCACCGTGCAGTTTTTGCACTGGACGTTGCAGCACCATTCGAATGTGCACTTGCAACGTTCCACGACTTGTTTAACGGTGACGGTGTAGCCTCTTCCGCAGCACATGAGGTCACACCCGTCCACACCCATGGAGGACACGTTGCAGGCGCGACCCACCGTCCCAGAGACGCCGTACCGCTGGTCACGCATGCAGAAATTGGGCGAGTCTTCGAAAAAGACCAAGTCCTTCTTGCTGGGCGGTTTGTGGTCGGGATTGTAGGGTTTGAGCTGGAACTTGTAGCGAGACCGTCCCCCTCGCCCAATGTCCCGCAGACTCCCGGCGTTGCTCATCAGCACCCTCGAGGCTCCGTCGAATCGGTCCTTGAGGGAAAAAATTTTCGTTTTTGAATACAGAAGTTTGAGTCGGAATTTACTACCCGATGAGGTTGTAACATACGCAAAAGGTGAAATTTTAAGCATGCTATTTCAATTACCTTGAGAGAGTTGCCCACCTCGCGGAAGTGGGGGAGTCGCATCCAGCACGTTTTCATGGTGCAGCTACCACTCATACCATGACACTTGCAATGTCGACGCATTAGGGTCTGCACATGCTGAAATTTTAAGGATTTCTTATAAATATTTGGCATTAAAAGCTTCATAAATAATTCAGCAGTCATTGTTGTACATACTTTAAGCTAAAAGCTTGTAAAACCTCTCTCCAATTTAGTGAAGAGCTAATGGTGCGCTAATCCTGCTGAGGATTTCAAGGGTTACATTTCTCCAATTTTTACTCATCATGCCTTCATCCATGTGCAGGATTTGAATGGGCACTCGGCACTTTTTCAGCCGGTTGACAAACGTGGAAATGAATGGATATTGAAATTTATTTGGGTTTTAGAAACATTTGCTTTGAAACCTGATACCACGGACAGCTCGAGAGGTGCCCCGCAGGATGGAGAATATGTACATACTCTTGGATGGATATTATGGCCTGTTCTGCCTCTGTGGATAATGCAATAGCAGCCTTTTAAAATGTTTGAAAGTTGACAAATTATGGAGATTTTTAACCAAGGCTAGTTTAACCTTCAACTCAATCATTTACTTTTTATGCTTCCTTGTACTCCTTACGATGCACTTAGCATCTCAAGCCAGCCAGCAAAGTATGGTGACAGAAATATGAAGCCAAACGTGACTGGATCTTTCGAATGTTCATGCAACTTGGATACGGAACGCTCAAATGTGCAAGGGCACGTGCGACATAATTTCGTGAAAATCAGGAAAATCAAGAGAGTCGTGCTTACCAATCGTCCTGCCTCATTATTGTGGCTGAAAAATATTAAAGGAACAAATTAATATTATGCAAGTATTATTCAAGCTCAAGGCAAATATTTGCACCTGGTGCGTATCATGGATAAGCATTCGTAATATATTTGATATCCAATAAAATGGCCACGAGGACTTACAGGTTCATGGTTCCACGCATGTCCCTCGCCTTCTCCCCAGCGTCCACAAAGTCCCTGGTGAACTTGTAGCCAAACTCAATGTTGTCCGAGCAAGATCCCCACTTCCAGTTTTGGTCGGGGGTCATGGATCTGCTGTACTTGTTGTGAAGGCGGTAGTCGCAGGTGCAGGACTCGATGGAACCTTCGCTGCAGGCGCGAACCACCGCGTGGGTCACCGCCGCGCTGGTCAGGGCGTAAATGAAGGACGTTTCACGACAACCTGAAACAATAAGCGTGACCATCATTAGTTTTGAAACTGGTCTCAAAACATTCGTTAACAAGTAGCGTTGGCTATGGCATTGGTCTAAAATCCGCCGTGTATATATACTTCCGGTCACTTCCTTGTGACTTCAACCCTGCTTTATGTAGGTTGGGTTGGATCTACAATTTTTGACTAGTTTGCATTAAATTGCAAAATGTTGGAGCGTTCTAGTGCTGTCCAAGAAAAACGATCACAAATTTGAAAAAATAACTCTTACAACACGCAATTTTCTTACGAAATTTTGCTTCGATCTGTATTTAAAAGATTATAAGCATTATTTTAGTTAATTGTATGTTTATACTGTTGCAATTCAGTTGAGAACAAATAGCGTCACGCTGAGGCGCTGAAAGCTCGCTGCCATCCTTTTCCCGTATTTCCATTATTTCTCAGCTTTTACAACCAAAAGTTTTGTTACTGACGATAAATACTTGGAGAGCTTTTTTCTCAATTTTTTTAGACCAACACCTTATAGTCCAAGGTTGACAATCCGTATTGATTGAAGGCACATTTAAGAATGACGAGCGAATGTTTTGCATTAGAACATAATCCAGTTTGCGTTGCTTGAGAGAACAAACATCTCTTTGCTCAATGATTGAATGAATCCACCATTCATCTCGGCAACCACTTTGTTTTGTCCATTTCCAAAGAAGTTGCAAGTCCATCATGAGATTAAATATTATTAAAAATGCATTTGGGATGAATGAATAGGAGGATTTCTTTCCTCCGAGCAACATTTTCCCTTTTTGTGAGATCGTATCGAGTATCGATGAATAGACGAACCAATCCCATCGTATCGACACAACTGTAACTCATGCACTTTATTATCTTTCTTCACTACTCTTTGGATTTAAAAATGATGACGACAAGTATTGAATATCTTATCGGAGATAAAAAGGCTTGTCAATCGGTTATTCATGCAGCCAACCAGCCAACCGACCGACCGACGAACCAACTCCCGTCCATAAGAATATTTTTGAATTAGTTCGCTTCACATAAACATCAAAACATGATCATCGCGAAGCAGACGAGTGTTGTAATCCGTTAATTCTTCTTCTTTGCCATTCTCTCGTCCAGAAAGAGGAGGAGAAAAACGTTCCGAGAGGAATACCTTTGCTCAACCCTTCCGAATAAAAAAATTTGAATCAATGCCCAAGTTGGACCGAGGGGGGAAACGATGATGATTATGATCATTTGCTCTGGTTCACCGTTTCGTCTCAGCTTTCGTTATTTTAAGGAAAGAAAGAATAAATCAACAGGAAACACAATGCACAATGGGCGACCCAACAGGAAGATTCGGTGAAAATGGTACAACGCCAATAAGCCCCATTAGCAACATTGTTCACATTTTGTTACCTTCATTTCTCTTCATTGTATCTCCCTGCTCACTCTCCGCATTGTGTTGGGAGAGCATTGTGGCGTTTTTATAACGCAAAAAATTCAGCCTGAAAAGATTCTCTTTTTTTACTGGAAAAGAGAAGTGTTTTTTTTCATTAAAACTCAGAATTTATGAAGTTCAGACAATGTGTGAAATTTCCTCTTGTTTCTTTTATCTCTGAACAAATAGTTAAAATTTGTACGAAGCATCATAATAATATTCCATTTGTTTAATTGTTGGGTTTTGCTAGTGAGCCAGCAGGACTTTAGTTCACATACAGCCTATCAATAATGGAGTCATATTGTACACTTGACAAATATGAGAGAGAGATCGAGGGGTTGACCGAGCAGTGCATTAAAATGTCGAAAAAGATCTTTACCGGTCCTCGCTCAACTCGCTTATCGGCCTAAAAATCTTAATACGGCGGATTGATAGAAATATATAAATGTACCATTCTTTCAACTAAAATAGCTCAATCTCTCTCGAGTCTCAAGAATGTGGAGCTGACAAGGGACACTCACGACCTATCGTTTGAGTCCAGGGTACCCACTATGTTTTTTAGAATCTACTAGGACCCCAGATGAAGGATTCATTCATATTTCCGTGTAAAACTCATATTTGGCGCCATGGCGTGGCGCCAAATTCGCCAAATTTGATGGTTTTTCATTTTAAAACCACCATAACTTTTGAAATCTTGGACGGATTTTCAAAATTTTTGGCAAAAATCATGACAAGGAGTTCAACTTTCGTATTCTATGAATTTTTTTCCAAAATTATCGCTTTCAACTTTTCGCAAAATTTTGAAATTTCGGGTTCGTCGAAAAATGCTAAAAATATCTCAAAAACTAAAATTTTTTTATTTTTATTTTTTTCTCTAAAATTTCGACGGTTCTGATCATTTTAAGCATAAAACTTTAAAAATCCGACGTAAACTGCAAAAGTTATGGGGGTTTGAAATTGGTCGAAAATCCACATTTTTAAGTTTGGCGCCACGCCATTGGGCCAAATATGAGTTTTACACGGAAATATGAATGAATCCTTCATCAGGGGTCCTAGTAGATTCTAAAAAACATAGTGGGTACCCTGGACTCAAACGACAGGTCGTGAGTGTCCCTTGTGAGTGAAAATGACATGTTCATGAAAAAATTGAACCGTAAAGTGATCTGACACATTACATTGGAATCCATTACATCACATCCTCCTATCTCACAACACATCATAATTGTCGGAATTAAGGTAGTCAAAGGTACCGATTATCCTGCATCCCAATGCGGGGAGGAAATAAGAGGAAATTCCATAATGCAGGCATGTGTGTCATGTTTGTCATACGTTCTTCGCTATGTATGAGTATCATGAGTATGTGCATATGTATGTGTCTACATATGCATCAGAGCCTCGTCACTGCAAGTCGAGTCGTGTGCACCGGCGACCGTAATAAAATTTGAGAGATAAGAAATCTTGATTGAAGAGGAGCAGATACGCACGCATGCAATTAAGGTTGTGATGAGAAGACAATAGATTTTGTGAGGGAGGGGATGCCATCCTTGCCTCCAATAACATGCATCATCGCAGTTGTACGTTGGAGGCTTTGTGAAGGGCCAACTTAATGGCCGGAGATGAGATAATGTCGCCCGTGTTAATGTAACAATTAGGCTTATCTCAGTTTAATATATACAAATAGCATCAGCACGTATCACGATCCTCCATTTTCTACACCCAAATATTATTTAACGTGATGCATATTTCCTTGAATATCTGTACGTGAATTATTTGAATACGTGTTGTGTATAGCTCTCTCGCCCCTCATCTCCATCCCCGTCATTGATCAACTGCTGTTGGCTTTCTTTCTTTTTACCTCATTTTTTAGGCTGGGAAAAAATGAAGTTATTACATCGGAGGAGGCATGGAGGGCTCTAATTCTCTCACTTCAGCCTTTTTTATTTATGCCCCTTTTCTACCGTCCTTCCACTTCTTGGTCCATTCGGGCACCGTCAGCGTTTAGTTCGAGGTGGAGAGAGGGCTGAGAAGCAGATCATGATTTATAGCGCTGAGGCCTCGATTGAGATTGTATCTGGGACCATTAGCCCACAATATAATGTCAGGTTGCATCCCTAATCGCGGTAATTCCCACTGACCACGACGCTGGTGGGTGAAGGTGCATATCCGAAATAATCTCCATTTTCAAAATATTTTGAAAATTTTGCATTTCTTTCGAAGAGATAAATACATGTATTTTCATGCATTTTGAAAAGTGAAGCCACACCGAAGTCAAGAAATTAAGTTAGCACTTGCCCAAGTAGGTTCTCAGCGAGGAGTGCACTTTGGGGGTTCTCCGCGTTCAATTTTCCGCAGTATCATCATAAATATCATCGTTCCACTCGCAGCTCATGCAACCTCTGCCTTCCAAACTTATGTATTTATGTATTCAGTTATTTTAGACCAATTAAGAAGGCTTAACGGTCAACAATTGGTGAAATCTCACATGCGACCAAGTTCCCACATATGCTGTGCATGTTAATCTTGGCTCGATTTCGATAAATATTCCAATGCGATGACATCTGATCATATTTCACTTTCCAGATCTCTGAGAAGGAAATTTATTACGGGCTTCGGATCAAGTTAGGTGCAAAAGAATTCAGTTCAGGCCACCCACCACCCACAAACTAATAACCAACCAAGAGAGGGAATCAACTCTAACGGGATGACGCAACAGGTAAGTCACACTAATGAATGCACTCTTGTGACTGCTCCACAAACGAGCTGGATCACGCAACCGTTTATCAAATGTCAACTGCACCCACGACCATTAATTCTGAGCTTTCCTCTCAGACAAACATCTCAATTTCTGACTCTTATCGTAAATAAATTCAGAAACGAGACCAAGTGAACAGTAAAAACTCCTGTTGAAACTAATAAAACCACACGACTTAGAACACGCAGTATGGGCAATAAATAAATATTATTGTGAATTTCGCTACTTGCAATCGACAACATGCAGGGTTATATTTTTAATTGCCTAGCGCTTGTTAAAAATGCCTCATGCAAAATGTTGTGAGAAGAAGGCCACACGCAAAAATAAAATAAAGCGAGGAGTGCTTTAGGATAAAGGTTGAAATAAATCCAGACTGCTGGACACAATATCTATCGAGGTGCACTTTTAGCAGTGCAAGATGTCCAGAGCTGGACGAGCCCAGGAGTCTGAGAAATATCTATGTACAAGAAAACTGGGTTGGTGATGAAATGTTGATTCTCATGATGACGATCCGCAAGTCAGAGATGATCACCACAGGTGTTTGGCAAGAGGCACGGCCCGATTACTACGTTACCACCCTGAAAGTTCAGGGAGAGAGCCTTCATCATCGTGTGAGCAAGTGCAATGGCAACTCTGCCTTTTACAGCAATTTTTACAACGTTTAAGGCGAGTATGACCAGGCGGCGGGGTTACAACAACTTGAGATCTTGGTCTTCATGATGATGATGAGTAATAGCGGCGGCAAGGTCTTTGACCATTTCTTAATCCATTGTTGGTGATCTAATGCCCTCTAATTCACTCAATAATTACGAAAAACTTGATAAAATACGGTTTCACTAATTGCTATTCTTCGTCCTCTAAATCATTGGGATTTCGCCTTATGGAATTAACGATTCAATCATGTTCTCCTTCTCCAGGAAAATACCTATATCTATTTTCAACTCGCAATGCTATGATATCCTTCTTATTTAGTATTTTACTCCAAACATACTTTTCGATTCATTCATTATCTTCATCACAAAATTGTGTACGAGTTCTCCTGAAATGCGTATTCTTTAAAGAGAGATGGATACGAATACGCGTTGTACGAGCATGGATGGGACGAGAGAAGAATTCCTGTGTGCACGTCAACGTCTTGTGTTATGTAATAATTAGCCGTCTTCCCTGCCTTCATTAGTAAAAAGTCGGCATTCCTCTCTGGCCCGTCTTCACTTTTAGTGTTGAATGTTGAACGGTGGAGATGGAACGTTTACTTAATTTCTTTGTAGGAATCATGGTCGTCGGCATTTACGAAAGCAAAGGGTCCGCCAAGTGACCACCGCGTAAGGCAACCACACCAAACCACTTGTTGGCATATACAAATGTAGCTAGCTTTTAGGCGGAATGGTCTCCTCCACGGCTTCGTGAGCGAGGTGGAAGGATGATGATAATGGTTTGGTCCAGGTTGGTGCCCAGCACAGGACGAAGAATTTGATCCGTGCATTTAGCTCGAGGAATGTATAATTATACAGAAGCAATTGTTGGAAAGTTGTAAACGCTTAATAAAGTAAGTGGTTTGGGTTTGCCTATGAAATTCCCACTTATTTTATTCCTCATCCTGCATGCATCGAAGATACGGCCAAAGATCTCAATAGGCGTCCCTGGCTGGCAGATTGGAGTGAATGAAGCCTTGATAAATAGTTTGGTGTAATGAAACCCGACCCACTTCGTCGCCTCCAGCTTCCTTAAATTGCTTTGTAAATGCCAAATTTCCATCCTCATGCAAATTATCTTTCTCTCGATAATTTACTCTCTGGCTGAGGATGAATAGCAACATCATCATCATGACTGCTCACTTTGAGAGTCGTCGAAATTCACAAGTTATTACTAAAACTAAATGAAGAAGCTCAAAGCTGAAGATATTTTCATGCTTGTTGTTCCCTCGTCTCTCAGCTTGGATGGTCGTGACGTGAGTGGAGATAGATAACAATCTGTATGTACATATTTAAATACAGCCCCCAAAATGGGTTTAATTTACATGCAAATAATGAGAGAGAGAGAAAAACAATGGACATTAACCGGTCTGGCTTCTCACAAGTTGCTTAATTATTTCGATTGTCACTAGAATTCCATATCGTGTATACCACGCAAAGGTTAAATGGTTCGAATAATAAATAAAGCCCAACAACAATAAAATAAATCATTATCAGAATAGATTTCAAAAAGAGTGATGTATTTATGCACGAGCAAAAGATGTATTTCGGGAAAGTTTATGCAGAAGTATACATTTTTCAAGTAAATAAATGCATAATAGTGCTGCCATCACATCAATACTTTCCATTGCGCATAAATTATTATCCAAACTACGAGGTTGATGTGTACTTTGAGGAGAATGGTGCCTGAGAAAGACCACCATCATCACATCAACCACTTTATTCATTCCGTCGAATTGCATGTAGTGACTGATCTGACAGAATAATTTGTTATTTGTGAATTGTGAATGGGATATGATTTTGACATGTATGCACTGTTAAACATCATTCAAAATAATTTGAATCGAATTGAATTTCTTTCGCAATCACGGTTGATGTGTTCATTTGATGGGAAGAATCCTACATACGCCACGCCATCCATGTATGTATAAGGTTCCTGCCTTCGTCTTAAATTCCCTTCTTCCTGCAGTCATTATTTTCTAATTAACAAAATGACTAAAAAGTAGTTGGTTGAGAACATGCGACTATTTAATCCTGAATACCTAAGTAGCGAGTGAATATTCCTTAAAATCTGAACATGAAGCTGAGGAGGAGGAAGAAAGAAAAGTAATGTTATTTAAATCACAGGACACACACAGAACGAGATGCACCTTGTGTGCTGATAAAAGGAGTTCCATGATGGGATGCGTTCTAAGCGTTTTTAAATGACCACGATCACGGGTTTGGTCATGACAAATGAATGGACCATGGTTTGTAATTAATTCCAACCGGCTGTGAATGGGAAAGGTCCATGAACATGAGCGTCCCTGCTCCCCACTAAAATTACACTTCAGCCCCTTTCACAATTATGCCGAAAATGCTCCTACGCACTTTCTTACCAATAATCTCTTGCCTCCAACTTCAACCTGACCAAAATTGTTCTCACTTGGAACAGCGGTCGTGAAGTGAATTCCCAGAGCTACAGCAGAAGTACATAGATACATGAATGCATCATGTTTCTTCTCCGATGCACGCATCATCACCTAAATAAACTCAAACTCGGCTAAACCCATGAAAAAAAATCCACATCCAACAACGTCACCCAACTTTCCATTGTTTTACAAACCTGATTTTATTATAGCTTGACGCTTAAACTGCAATAAAACTTGAATGGCAATTGTAAACGATGACTTGGCTTATGTCATGCTGAAGCTGTAAGCGGACGTTTATTCAGATAAATGATGCATAATGGCATTCACACACTGATACGATTCCATGTCAAAACTCTTTTTAACCCATTTCATCCGGAAAACTGAAAAATGTGCTGCATCACCCACACCACGTGGAGCGAGTGGAAGATGAAGATGCGAAAGAGGGATGAATATCAATCAGGCTGCGAGAGGAAGAAAGGAAGGATGAATATTAAATGTAAAACCAGATTTTTGCCAAGCAGAAGAGAGGGACGAATAATTAGAATGAATAAACAAAGAAAAGGTTTATGAAGCCATCCATCCACCATCGAGCGACTAAACTGATGAGCAGCAACAGGGCTGACGCTGGACTCATGATTGTTACGGCACAATTATTGTTATTACAGCATGATTATTACAAAGTTGTCTGGCCGGCAGGAAAGCCGCCTTCATATTAAAACACTTCTTTCTGCCAACAACAACTCCACCGGTGGACCTGCTGCAAGCAACTCGGTCGACCCTCACAAACCAAAACCTTCTTCGCCCTGGATCAAGAATCTATTTGATTATTGTGTTATTATCAACACCACCACCACCGTCCACAACCTCCACGAATCCCATCCTGTCATGAGAAACGTAATATTCTGCTCTTGGTCATTTTTTCATAATTCCATGAAATTGACTCAACCCCGAAAACAATCTCTCTCTCTTTCTCCATTGATATCCTAAAAGTTCGACCCCTGTCCAACCTGAATTCATCACAATCCCAATTTCAGGGCAGCCGGTCACACACACTATTTATTGTGGGGTTCATTTCCATAATCATGCAGCCATGTCATTATGGAAATGTTACCAACTTTTTAATCAACTTTTTACAAATCCATTTTATCCCGTTGCATGTACGTTTACTTTTTGGAATGCATTTGTGATAATGTGACTTCATTCACAATCAAGTTAACCTCAGAGAATCAAAGTAAAAAACCTAATTTGCTTTCCAGTAGAGAAAGACAGGTATTGCTTGACCTTAAACCCTCGTAAAGTATAAATAAGTAATGATAAATTGAGCAATTTGATCCTGCAATGCAGATCCGTTTCTCAAAATCTCTCGCAGCTGCCACAATCGTAGTTTTGTACTCAAATTATTTATAGTTGGTTATGCAACATTTATGGTTTGGCGTACCTTTTTCTACGATTTTCCCGAAAATGTTCTTGCCATTCCAGAAGGACTTTGTGGGGCAGTTCCACCTCCGATTGCTGAAAAAATCAAGCAAAATTTTATAATCTCGAGTTGCTCGCTTGGCAGTGCTACTTAAGTACTACATAAAATAGCATGGTGTAAATAATAAAAATGACTTGTACGGAATTACCGGAACTGGTGTTTGCACTCGACCACAGCGTCACTCGCTCCCTTGGCAATCGCCTGCACCACGCCGCGATTTTCTTTGACGACACGCTGTTGTTTCTTGCGAAGGACGGCTTGGACCGGAGGGTCGAGGCTGTAGCCCCCGATGCCTCCACCCCGGATCGAGTTGACGATGAGATTGTTGGGCTCCCCGATCTTCCCAATGCCCCTGAAACATGTTAAGGCCGGATTAGACGTGCTTCCTCACTCACATTTCTGCAATTTAAACGTGTCAAGCAGTTTATGAATGAAATGACAAGTGCAGATTGTCTCCTGAGACGTGTTTCCAGGTGGTCTCCGTAAAATACATGAGTGAACGAGTCATTGTCAGTTGAGTTTCTATTGAAATGAAATTTGCATCACTCCGTCAATGAGTTTAGTTTACACGCATTATTATTATCATGCATTAGCATGAGTACAAAAAGTACACGAATTTTAGACATATTCGTCGTCCAAATTATATTCCCCTGCTGCTGGCTGGCATCCAATCATTCATCACCAGCTTCATTCTGTTCCATGTGAATTGAAGTTTGGAGTTGGTGGGAGAATGGATTTTCCTTTGCGTCGAGATACGATTCTGAAGGAGCACTTGTTATTCCGTCCTTCGCGTCCCTCTCTTCTTCAATCTCGAGATTAAGATAAGGTTAAAGATTTGGGAGAACAAATCTACCAACAACTCGGAACATGACTACCTGCCTACTCTTGCTTGCTATCTCCGATTGGAGATACCTGCGTATTTACTTCTTGGGTGACTCGGAGGATGAGAAAGCAACATTTGAATTTTTGTGTCGTCGAATGCAGAGAAAGATGCTCAATCACAATCACAATCCAAGCTATGCACAGCACATGAGCTCGGTTTGTTCAACTAATCTTGGGACGGGCAGTGGTCGTAATGACTTTGGTAGCTAAGTATGCATGGAAGTTGAAGATATTTCATAATTTATTACTCTCCCCGATATCTCTCCTGCATTTAATTTAACCAAAAGATTCAGCATTCCCGACTATTTGTACCCAACTTATTTTATGTGCGTCCGTGTATGGATAATATGTTCAACGCGCATTCTAAAGAGGAATGAAACCCAGTTATTTCATCAACTTACACACATCGCATTGTGAACTGCATTCATCCGCGGCCAAATTGTGCTTTAAATCTTGTACTAACAAATTAGATTTCCTTTTGTCTGTCCAAAATTTTACATAATTTTTCAACCGCAGGCAACAAAATGTAACCTCATGGAGGACAGGATAGGAGAGGGAATATCATCATTTATCTATTTATTAAGGTGTGCATGTTCAGGTTGAATTTTATCCTCTGGGAAATGACAGATTAACATGTCACCCACCACCGCACAAACCCCTCTCTCAGCTCTCTGGGCTGCATGAATAGAAATGAAATGATAAATACGATCGAATTCTACATCTCCGTCCGTGGCGAATTGAGACATTGAGACTTTCTTTGTGCTGCCCTTCTCACCAGCAACCATTTAACGTCGTCCTTCTTCTTCTTTTGTGACATTTGAGTCGTACATTGGCCATTACACACGAATTATGTATTTACCAACGGACCTGACTCTACCTCTCACCTTTCTTGTGCTTAGGTAGGTATGGCCATCAACCGTAAAATTAGAGGTGAAATCCAGACGTCTTTCCACTCAATTTGCATTGCAACACAGATCCATTGTCATGCACATTCGTATAGCGTACATGTAGGTCTATACGGCATGTATTAAATATGCTTCTAAATGTGTACTTACATAGGTTGTTACGTGCAGTAACAAATAACGTTCAATATGTCGTGGATGGATTGCATTGGTTGTGAATAAATGCAGCATGTACACAGAGTTCGCATTTCATTCACCTCGACTTGACGAGAGAAAACTTGTAAAGTTGTAAACTTTGTAATTTGACACGACTGAAGGAAATTATTTCTTGCAACAAGAAAAGAGTGTCCCGTTAGTTAGTTACGGAGGGTATGCAGGCAGTGAATATACGGTGAATGGTCTTTTGCTGTCAATTGAGAAGAAGGTCTCTTCTACATTTGGATGAAGTGATGATGACAGTTGTCAATGGCCAATAATGTCCACGGTGAGACTGGTGGTCTCCTTTGAGTCAGTGGTAACTCACTAATATCTAAGGTCACGTGACTCCCATTCCGAGACGTTGACAGGCAAAGCGTGACTAATTGAGAAGAATGTTACAAAAAATTCTGCATTGGAAAAAAGGTTACACGCATAATTTCTTCCTGACCGTGGTTTACCGTTAAGCAATAATTATCATCATCATGAACCGTTTTCAGGCTGAAATGTGACTCTTACTTTATTAGGTCTCACGTACTTATGTCCACTATTTCTGATTGACAAAGTGAAGGTGAAACTGAAAAGGAAATTCCGAGTGCGTAAAAGAGTTGACATTTTAGGAGACGGAATGTCCAAAGTGAGTGAGTGATCCAGGGGGAATTAGCGTATTCCCTTTTTCGTGGGTATTTAAATGGTTGAAATAGTTCCAGTCGTAAACACGACTCTATTTGTCAGGATCAGGACGGTGGGCTGAATGAAATGATTGAAATTAATCTGACGTGGTGCCAGTGTCTGTCTACGTGGGGTCGGGCTCAGCAATGTCCTCCTTGTACTTGCTCCACGGTAAAAGTGACGACGTTCAAGTCCATATTTACAACGGGACAAAAGAGTTGCTCACAATTGCTTACTCGAGTTAATTCCATTTAATTTACTCTCTCATTTTGCCCTGTAAAATAAGGCCGAGAAACATGCGTTTGCACGTATCTCCTTTGTTTATCGTTTCATTATGCAGTCAAGATCAGCCCACTTTGTTCTCATCTCTCTCACTCTCATAAGCCAGCCTCTAGTCAGGCACATGCATGCATAAGTAGGAAGAAGACGATGTGTGCTAGCAGCACCAAATTTATTCAGTCTTTCGACGTTTTAGCTCTCGTTTAATGGTGCGATTTAGGCATTTTTTGCTCCAGAAGTCAAGTCCTCTTGAAGCGCAGTCCATATCTGGGCTTAACTTGTTTAGTCGTTGTTATAGACTGCAGAGAGAAAGAAAGAGGGATTTATTATTTGAACTTGTTTGCTCTCGGAGTTTATATTTCAGATCTGGAAATAATGCATGGACAAATATGGCTCATGCCGTGTTTGCTCTCCTCAAGTGGACTGAAGTGGAGTCAATGTTTATTGAATTATTCTCATGAGATAAGTGCTAACACTCGGAAATCTTGAGAGCGATGAAGGACCATCCACGAGAGCTTTTTTTGTGAGAAATCTTCCAGCCGACGACTAAAATGAGGTGTGTGCATTGTGAGGAATGGACACCCCCACTCGGCTCCTCTCCATAAAATATTAACATCTTCTTCGCCGGAGGAGTGGGACTGAAGAGTCGCAGCTTTTTACCTGCTGAACCCATAACGATCTTTTTTTTCCTTTTGTGGACTTATCTGCGCACCGATTGTTGGGATTTATTTGAAAATCATGATCTGACATTTATCATGGATTAGCCAAGTTTTATGTCCAGCTTCCCCGTCTTGTCTCCCTTTCTCCGCTCTTATCCCTGCATCAACTGTTATAAGCTCCTAAAGGAAAACACGCCTTTTTGAGATGTGGAGAGAGCTCGGCCGGTTCTAAATGGTCAGGCACGAGCTAAACTGCTCGTGTTTATCATAATAATAATAATACTAATAGCGTCCAATAACGAATACGGAATGAGCAGCGGTTCCTTTGTGAATATTACGACTTGATTGAACTTTGACCTGAAGGAATACTCACAAAAGGGAAATGCGTGGAATTCCTTTAAGTAAAACATCACTGACAAATATTTGTTCATTTATTAGCGGTGTTTTTGATTCATTAGTCGACCCAAAATCCTCATTTGACTGAGTTGCTGAGTCTTCTCGTAAGGAAATTCCTACTTCAAACCCCTCGTCCGGCGTTCAGAGTGGTGGTTGATGTCTCAAAATGGAAAATTGTGACCATTTCAAACGTATTCATTCTCTGATACACAATGTCTAACAAGCCCAATAAGTAGTCAACTCGAGGCTCTGTATACACATCCCATTTCGCCTTTTGAAGGGTGCAAACAGAAAGCAATGCGGCTTTCTTCGTCATAATCACCCAGCTTACGAATAACCCAACCAAAATATTTTACAGTGAATCGCATTCCTTTTCCCAACTGGCTAATAATGTGTGTGGCACACGGGAATCACAACAGATTTCCATTCAGAGGAACGAAACCAAAGACCCACCCGACTTTTTGCTCTCACAATAATGCGCATTCAACATTGCGTAACAATTGAGTAAATAGTTTGATAATGTGTGGCTCCGATGAATAGCCAAAGTTTTTCCTTGTGTAAGAGCACCAAGGAGGAGATTGGGCAAAAGAGCTGCGTCGCAGTGGTGGCAATTTTTTGAGGGTCACTTATACTTCCTCGTACATACGTAATCTCCAATTCCAGAGGCAGGACTCGAATTTCAAGCAAAATATTTCTCTCTGACCAAAAATACGCTAATCCGACTGCACCAAAATATCGATAAAAAATTAAAAAGAGAGAGAACTATGTATAATGCAAACTAAAAATAAAGTTGATGGGGGGGACTTACCACCATTTGCTGCCTCGACCTCTGCCCTTGGGAATCCTGGCGGAGGAGGGTGGGACCATGGACCCCACGATGATGACCAAGGCGAAACCAATGATTACTATCAAAACTGAGACGGTTGGATTCACTCCCATCTTCAAAGACAGAGTTTGATAAAATAAACAGTGCTGTAGCTAAGCCTCGAGGACACGATTTCTTATGAAAATGGCGATAAACAGCAATTTTTGACCACTTCGGAGACCGAGGATCATAATAATGATTTGAACCTTGTGTTCATCGAGTCAGTCCAGTCTTGTCTAGTATTTTGATTTTCTTCCAACGCGATCATCTGCACAGAAACGATTTTAAATCCATCATTGAAAAGTAGTTCTTCCTCGTCTGCTTTTTAGACCAATGAGAAAAAGACGAAATATTCTCGGTCGTACCGGATGGACGCCTTGCAATGTTTTCATACGAATTGCCGAAATTTTGTGCTAATAATCTCATTTTTACTGAACGTTACACCATTCAGCTATGATATTTGGGTTCGCGTTGGGTGGGGAAAGTGAGACTGTTTGTTTCTTTCCTAGTTTCTCTTTGGGCTTATGTGTCGATGCACAAGAGAGGGTTCAAAATGTAACTGTCATGTACTTATTTCTGATGTTTAGTTAATTGCACTAGAACAACAACTCACACGTCGTCATTCCAGTCAGTACATGTTTCTGGTTGACGTAAATATGCCATTTGCACTTTTACACGCTAATCTCACTTCCTCACTCGAACAGAAATTTCTCAGAAATATTATACTTTCACTTTGCAGTTTAAATGAACTGAACTTGACTCATTTTTTTGAGCAGGAGTGTCGAAAATTCCAGAGACATGCACATTCAAATGGAATACGCACACGATTCCACCGTGCTCAGAGCGTCGGGAAATGAGACGAGATTATTTAGCAGTTTGTTTAAAGGGTGCGGATCACTTTACTGACAGCGACGAGACAACGTGTCGTCACCACTGATTTAAACAACCGGATATACGAACCTTCTTCAAACAATTATGAATTTCTCGCAGTTTTATGGAGTGGGAAAAATGTCTTGTTTTAACAGTTACACTGCAAAAACGTAGCATGTGTCGTCAGCTTCTCTCTAAATGCTGGCTTTCTTGGTAGAATGATGGATTTACGCGTAAATTGTCAACTCTGCTCAAGGTTTCGCAAATATTAGTCGAGCAATCAAGTCTATAATCAATTTTGATGAAAAAATAACTCGGTTGAATATTTTGAACGTATTTTTATGTATGCTCGTCCTGATATCGTCCTTATTCCATATCGTTCGTGTTCTGGTATGGCGAAACCGGCGAGATTGAGTTGCAACTTTTCGCAATGGAATTGTGACAAGTTTGAAAGTGCAAGAACAACAATGGTGTGAGTGTCAATAGTCAATGCCAAATGATCCTTTGCAGTGAGATGCTTGGGGATTGAGAGACTGGTTGTGGAGTCAAGTCAATGAGGACTTCTCACTCTATTCCGCCTCTACAATCAACATCCTCAGCAGCAGAAGAGATCCCACAAAAACGAACGATGACGACGACGACACATACAGCCAGCCAACCTGCACCTCGTATTGCAGGTAAGAGCCAGGGGAGCACTCGCTTAACGTTACTCGCCATTAGTAGCACAACCAACTTACAATGCATTACAATAATGGGGAACAAATGCAGCAGTGTGGATGAAAGCGTCGGCCGCCTAGTCTTTGCTTTGCTTGTGGGTACAGCGGATAATGTGAAAGAAATGCTCAATAAATGCCATGAGATGAGACCTCTCGGACTTGGAGGCATGCAAGCCGTACCTTTATTGATGCAGGCTGGAGAACTGTGTCAGTCTCCCCACGACGTGGACTTGGTACAGGCAATCAGAAATGCTGGTCCTCCGAAGCTGCGTTCTGAATCTCGTTGGAGCACCAGATGACCGACGAAAGAAGTCGTGGCACAGAAAACAGCAAAAGTCAATCAAAAAGGCATTAAATGGGAGCTATTTTCATCCCCCTTATCTCGCTCGACAGGCAGAGGACAGGAAACCAATCCGTTTAATTGACTCCTTCCAACCTATGACAATACAAGTCATCTCGTTTCTCTAAAAAGTAAAACGTGGTGGCATCGCACAGACTTCGGATGACTCTCGAAATATAACTTTCCAATTGATGCCGAGTTTTTCAGAAATTCAACGATAGATAAAGTATACACAAAGCTGAAGGGTTGGCTGGTGAGAAAAGGGTCCTTTCGATGAGAAAGCGGTGCACAATGGGCCGTTTGGATTGCGAAGAGGCTGGAAGACGGGTGGGTGAGTCCCCCCTGCAGAACTTGTTGCTGGACCTGACTCCGCCTGCTCCCTCGACTAGCAACGCCTCACGACCAGAAAATACTGCTTCCTATCTCTTGCTCTTTAATTCCGTGCGGAATGCAACGAGCAAAACATAGTTGACAGCAGTGGAATGAATGCTTTGCTGAATTTGCATCGTTATTGCTTCTGCATTCTGTTTTTAAACGAATTCATTGGTGAGAGGAGATGCATCCTCGGCCCATCTCGACGTATGCACGTATGTATGTATGCAGATATGTAGATAGATGACAGCATAAATATGCCTACACGCGCAGCATTTGTGACACAGGAATTTTGGGCCTGTACAATACTGTTCTTTCTTGAATATACCTTTCTTCAATGAGGACATGAAACGGGAGATTGGTTTTTGAAATTAAATTATTTTGAAATTTGTGAACGAGAGATAATTTATTGTAAATGATTCTTTCCTTTTGGGTTTTCCCATTACAGAACTTTATTCATTTTGCTGAGAGCCTTATCGTCCTCTCCTGCCTGCCACATGCACTTAAACCTGTTCAATCAAGACGACGATGAGCAGCCAAGTCGTCTTTTTGTCATTGCCAAACTCAGCTCTGTCTGGTTTTACGAGTGATTGAATTAAAAACCAATTTATTAGCGAGTCAATTGGTTTGTTGGAATATTTATGGCCCCGTTGACACGACGTGATTTCCATGCGGTGTGCAGGGCTCGTCTGAGGTTAATTGGATTGATTTAGTCTGATCAATTCCACGTCTCTTGTATGACCACTTTTCTGCCTCGTAACAATTGATAAAATAAACCAATTTCACTTTGAGACTGATTTTATGGCATGTATTACAAGAGATCGTGCTTCTCCGCTTGATTGTGCACTTGCGAATTGTTCATTCTCCTCTATTTTACAACATGTCATTAATATCGCAACAATAAAAATGTGATTAGATACATATAAAATTCTACTTCCATTGATTGGTGTGCTTTCTAGAACGTTTTTTTCCTCCAAGAAGTTGGCGAGTATTGGTAATGCATAACAACATAGTTTATGTGCATGTTTGTGAACGCTTTGAGGTGAGGGGCATGTGCATATGGCTGCATCTTTAATGGAAAAGGCAGGACACGTGTTCTTTCATCTCCTCTTTTTAAGCCAAAATTATTGTGAACATGTTAAAAGCTTTTCAAATGTTGGCTCTCCACATGGCCGACTTTTTAAGCGCACTTTGTTCAGGTACTGTGTAGTCACAGAAAGAAATGCAGGAGGTATCACTATTAAGCAAATGTATATAGTTCATGTCCTTCTTGGTGCATTTTTGGGACGCACATAAATATTAGTACATACTTTATGCATGGATTTTAAGGTTTCTGTTCCTGGAGTCATATGTGCCACAAAAGTCCATTATTGAGTTTTATATGAAATTTCTGTGCTTTTGGTTGTTTGGATGTCGATTCGAAGTTTGTACATTTTTTAGGAAGGAACGTATTTAAAATATGGAAACGGTCATGCAACTTATTTTCCTGCTTGGTTCGAACATTTTGCGACAACGTTCCACATTTTTGTCGCCTTGTTGAGTAAAATAAGAATCAATTACCAGCAACTAATTTGGAATTTAAGTACGAAATACAAACGAGGCATTTAAAATTATTTATGACAGGGTTTGGCAGTAAGTGCATATCCAACCCACCTCTTTTGGGTGTGTAAAGTGTCACTTGGTCTGAGAACGAGTGACACATGTACATAAAAATCAACAATCCCGTGAGACATGCATAAATACAGAAAACAGGCATTATGACCATTATTATTAGTAGTTCTAACGTTTATTATTAGTTGGCAACAAACCACTTTCTCACAATTGCTCCTAAAGCATCACACGTCCAAAATTCCAATAACGTCTGGCGTTGCTTGATGGGAATTTGAACAATAAAACGAAACGAGAGCCATTCTCTCTCGCACCTTTGGTGAAATCAATTCAAGGCGAGGAGAAGCCACATACCCAACAAAAGCCAATTCATTTCCAAAGAGTTTGAAAACTGTCCAGACGGTCCTCCGGCGCCATCCGAGCTATTTTCAGAAGTTTTCATTGCTCAAACAGTAATAATAATATGACGACTAATACACTAATTTACAGGTGGAAACCGTGTTAACATTTTCACGCCTTGCTTCAGCTTCTCACTTTATTACGAGTTGGCAGACCATTTCTCTTAATTGTTCATCCCGTACCACCCAAAACTTGGAGAAACTTTATGCGTCCCTTTCTCTGCAAACTGCAGCAAGCGATTATTGAGAAACGTTACCCACCTTCGATGAGGGATTTATTCGGCATTATTTTATTTATTAGACGCTACAATCAAGCCAACGAGGAAGTCATTTATGTATCATTCGTAGGGACAAGTCCGAAATATTGGAAATTTTCATTTTCGAAATGTTACCAAATCCCAAACTGGTTAATAATGTTATGCATGCTCCACGCACTGTCCCTACTACTGCGTCCCCGATCCCCCAGCCGGTCCAGTAGTGGCCACTATTGTGCACTGCACTCTATTGTACTATTTGTATGAAAATATACAAGGAATTTCACAAGTTTGGGTAACACAGGACGCGAGAAACGCCCTGGTTTACCTACCGCACGAATTCCTACCGGGCAGGAAGAATAAAAGAGTGTTGATGACTCCATTCGCGCATTGTTGTGCAGACGTCGGTGGTGGTGGCGAAGAAGATAATGGCCAATCATCCCAATAATAAATAATTATTGTGATAATAATAATAATAATTATAATGAAATGAATCCATGCCATCATCATCGCTTCCTTTCAGAAGCGGCACGTTTTGTGTAAATGGGTAAAGTGTCCAGAGCCCTTTGTTGGGCTGTTTGTTGGACATCTCTCTCTCTCGCCTTTTGTTCACAATGCGGTGTAATGAGGAATTCTTTTATTTTACTGAGCAGTTAAAGTTAGCTGAGTCCCTGTCATTTCGCCGAGAAGATTTGCAGCCTTGAGTTCAGGAGCAGAAGCCCTCAAAGGTAATTCAGTCCTACCTTCTCATATCGACACATGGAGACGCGCATCATGGACGAAGGAGCTGTTGCACCCTTGAGCACCTTCCTTGCCGGCTTTTCATCTCGTATCATCATCTCTTTCAACAACAACAACGGCACACACAATCAAAGACGTGGACACTGAATGAGAGCCGAAATATTGTCAGCGGGGTGCAGTTGGCCAACGTCGTTGGAGGTTCTTTGCCCTCAGCCTTTATTACAAGTTGTAACTTACAACGAACGAGATGCAGCATTATCACAGCATAGCAAAGATCTCTTTATTAGTAAATATCGTATGCATTAAATTCATCTGAGGATGAGCAGTGTCCAGTGTCCAGTGGTACAAATGCGGTGAAGTCCAGCTAACTATGTATGTATGCCAACACGAAAGGGAGGCAACTGATTGCATTGGGTGGCCAATTTGCGACATTTCTTTTGTGTAGACCCTTTTGGACGGTTAATGTGTGGTAAAAAGTATTTGGATAAAATCTATAAAATTATACCCATCGTAGAAGTTTATGACTATTTCTTTGTGAATATTTTATAATTAGTCTTCCAGGTATGCGGAAGCCACGCAGTCTGCCAAGTGCACTTCCAAGTGGAAGCAGGGACTCTTGACATAATGCATTCCATGAAAAGGATGAAAATGAATGAAGTCGAGGACCAGGGGACTAGAGGCACAAATTCAGAGTGCATAAATGGGCACATGCATAATAGGGACACAGGCAGATCCCTTTTGTTCTCAGCAGCAGGCCTAATTAAATACGAGGGCAGAATGGGAAGTGAACGAAATCCAGCTTATTTATCATTTGCCCATGCTTTTATTTATTTACCACTTACTCGTATTTACCATTTCTGGTATTGGCTGTTGGGGCTTTTTATCACGGCCATTATGTGGAGCAGAGGAGAGAGGTTTGTGAAACTGGATACCTTTCCGACGCTCCAGCCGCGTTGGCAGCAAGGGCAAATTTTTACCGAACCCCGAGTTTAATCTCCCATTAACCTGGAGGGATGGCTGGATGGGCAACAACTTCCTTCTGTGTCATGAATGTCATGTCATCTCAGAGTAATCCTCAAAATATTGAGTTTGAAGTACAAATAAGGCTTACAAACATTGGCACAAAGGACTCGAGTACGTGACACTCCTATTAAGCGAGAAAGCGATTCTTTTGGATTAAACATTTCCATTTCACGAACCATATTTATTTATCCTCTTCCTTCTTCCACATGGGTTTCAATTTGGGGTTCACGAGGCAATTGGAAAATGGATTAAGTTTCAAAGTTTTCACATAACACTCCTTCGCACCACGGAGTTCGCCCCACCGCGCACCTGCCCAGTCAATAGGCTGCAAGTATATTAGCATAAATGGACCGCAGTTCTTTTACAAAACTACATGTTTGTCGTCGTGGAATGCAATTTCTTAATTTTAAGTGGGTTTTATTGAGTCCTCCTTTAAGAAACTGGGGGTTATCTACTCAACATTTATGCATGCACATGCTACAGTTGGAAACAAATCTTGATTCCAATGTTGTCATCAAATAGACCATTCTTAATGACGGTTTTCTAAGATAAGTACTCGTATTTGTAGGAAGCTGAAATTTATCTATCCGGTATCCGGTATGCAGATATTCCAAAATTTTAAGGATCTGAAATATGTGTGAAATACCAAGCAGTTGATATTGTTTCGAATTTTATGGCATTACTGAGGTTTGGGTGGTCAGCAGGGTGCACTTTATAGAAGAAGGACGCGTTTATCTGTTGCCTGTCTGTCGAGACAACTTCACACTTTGGTGAGAATTGATTTGTCACTTCGAGAAGGTTGGAGGATTCGGATCCGATCCATTTCAATTCTTATTCACCCATCGAATAATAATATGAAGACTATCACTCTATCGACGACTATGACGACGATGGACTCGTTTATTGGGCAGATAAACCTCGGTGACGCCTGCCCTTCTGGACTGACTTATTGCCTCTCGGCTACTCTGGCTGTTGCATATTATTAACTGCCGTGGTCCTATTTTACGACCTTGACAGCTTTCCTACTTCACTTCATCACTGTGCGAGCCCAATAATAACGTGTCAATTCCATCCAATAAGTTTTATGAATTACTCAACAAAGGCGGGGTGCACTTGGGTTGGTGGTTAGACGCATCATTTTATGGCACTCTGCTTATTGTCATTGTTGATGCACAACCAACACGACCATTCTGTTTATTTTATTGGCTTCATCTGTGGGTGAACAGCACAACGAGTTTCGAAGAGAACGCCCTGCCTGCACGAAAAACTGACTGCGTGACAATCAGTAGCAATCAAACCGAGTTTACCAATAATTTCCTAAACGTTTCATTTGAAGAAAATAAATAATCAAGCGTTCATTTATTACCTTGTAAAAAACGGGGCGCAATTTTCCAGGAAAATCGTGTTAGTTTTATTGGACACATCTGCCCGTGAAATGAGTCAAATGTTTTGGCAGGAATTGATTGATTCGGAAGCAGGGATGGATTGCCGGGTGGACCATATGCTGGTCGAAAGGCGTCCGAGAGAGCGGCGCTGTCCAAGGCTTTGTAGGTGGCTGGGTTGATTGGAAGACGTATCGAGGGCACGCCTCCGAGGAATAAATTACATGAAAATTACAAGGCTCGCATATCCAGCTCCGACCTCCTTTATTTTACAACCCTCCATTCACCTCGTACTCCTAACTGTGCTTCGATTGAACCATCAGCCTCCTCCCAACTGCCTCATCTTCCATCAAAACAATTATTTCAATTTTCTGCATCCCAATAACCAAGAAAAGAAAGGGAGGCCGACAAGTATATAGTTTCACTTGTGGTGAGAGCAAGCAATGAATGGTTTCAGGTGGGTCCTCTGGAATTTGGGGTCGTAGTATCTGCTAGAAAACAGGTACACACACATTCGTTGCACACATAACTACTGCGGAACTGGTTGTTCTTGGTTGGTTGGCCGGCAGTGCAGTGGTCATTAGGCACAATTACTTCATTATTGCATTCTTCTTTACGTTCTTCCGCCTCTGTCAAGCATCCAAATTGCATGATCCAGTTAGTGTTCGAGATTCTGTTCTCGTTTAATGAAAGATCCAGTGTCACATCTTTCTAATTATCTATCTACCCATGGTATGTACATTGTACATAGATATGTACGATGAGCCATGGCGTTCATGACGTTCCACAGGAGTGCACGGGTTTATAAATAAATTTATAGTTTTCAGAATCGTAATGACAATTTTTGATAATAAATAACTTGTCAACTTTTATTTTAAATAGTATTGTATATTGTCGCTCATACGTATGCAATGCATATAATGAATTCTAGAAGTAATTCAAGCAGAAGCCCTGGCAGCAACCTTACATTCACTTACGTACATACATTTAGTGATATGAATGAGTAATAGTTTAATATGTAATTGCCCAGGCTTTAACCGAGTCTTTAATAATATCACAGAAATCACGCAAAATATGGGAGAAAGCCCTTTATGTGAGGCAGTAACAATACTTTTTCATGTCCGTGCTGTCCACGCAAAAACTCTGATTGCCGTACAGGTTGGTCCGACTGATTACGCCGGACACGCTCCACTGATTTTTCTTATTACGAACAACGGTGGCATCGAAAGTCGCGTTCCCTGGCGCCGTCCTGAACGACAATTCAAACGTCTTTTGATGAGACGACTTTTTCGCAACGCTTGCAGGGATTACGAGCAAGGCATATTGCACCGAGTGGAGGGCAAGATAGGCACACTTTGGATATTTGGACACAAATGAGTTGAGAGCAAACACAACGTAGTTTGCTGCCTGCTGAACCTCCCCATCCGAAACTTGAACAACTTTGGTGCTATGACAAACGCACCAGTGTTCTGCAATTTCTGCTACTTTGCATGTCCTGCTCTCCGGTATTGGGAGAAACAGACTAATTCCACGGCTGAGTTTCTTGGCCGCATCCAGAGCAGCCAACTCCTTGGTCCGTTTCTTGAGATTATCATCCCCAATGCTGCTCAAGTCCAAGAGATCCAGAAAAGTCTCGTGGACATCGAACGGCGTCGTCAGTCGAGCCCTGTTGTCGAGCAGATTCGTCACCGCTGACGCGTATTTGCGTCGGAACCATTCTGGGAGGAGAATGTAGAAGAGCGGCATGTTTTCCTCCACTTTGCCCTGAGCAGTGGACCTCATCGGACCCCAACGAATCCCGTGGTCACTCGTCAGTAGGAAGGCCGTGTTGTTCAAGTGACCTTCTTTCTCCATCCACTGAATAAAATTGAGCAAGGGCTTTTCTCCCATCCGACCAAGATTTACGTAGTCGTGAGTTAGAGAGGTGGCCCAGATGAGTTGGAAATACCTCTTCTTCTGGCCCATCGTGGAAGCCAGAGATTTCATGTGATTCAACAGAAACTCGAACGAGAGTCTCGGCCCGTAGCAAATGTGCGGGTTTCCACGCTTATCGGCCTTAATATGCTTTTCAGCCATTCTGCTAATTGGTCGGAGGTAGTAGTCCGTCGGAGCTTGTTTGAAACCATTTTTGAGATAGGCAAAGATTCCCATCCACGTAGAATCCTATGTGACAATAGTTTCAATTAGTACGATGCGTATGTACCATTTAAATTAGATCACATCATTCACATCACATAAATAAATATCTCTTAATTGGCTCCACTGTACGATTTCATAATATAGATGACCGCTTATCTTATAGGAAAAATTGCAATTCGAAGTACACGTGCACACTGCACACTATATGGTCTTTTTTTCAACAAACGCCCTAATCTTGGATCTGAACGGAAAAATATTCGCGAATTTATTACGAAATTTCGGATTATTTTTGGGAAATAATTATACACTAATTTTGACTTTATGAGTGTTCCTTCAATCTTATGTTGGCGTACAATTATTTCGTTGCAAATAACAAAAAGCATGTCGAGCACAAATTCAGGTGTACAGGTTGTTTACCTCCCCGTAAGCTGTTCGGTAACCCTGTTTTGCAAACAGTTTCCAAATGAAGGGGCAGTCATCATAATATTTCTCCTTCGAGCATGACGCTTCGGTTTCGTTCACAGTTTGCGCAGTCAACATTGCCAACAAATTTGGATACGTATTATCTGAAATTTTTAATGTGAGAGTGAGTGAAACAAATTATTTTTAATTAAGTTAAAAGGTTAGTGTCCACCATATGCATTTACCTCCAATTTTAGTATATCCGTCCAGCCAATAAGCTGACAACTGTTCAATCAAGTACTTATGCACTTTGGGCATAATTCTTTGGAAATTCATATGAGAAACTGCATCCAAACCCAACACCACTAAATTGATTTGTTCTGTCGCCACAACTTTCGACGTGTTATGAACGTTGGAAAAATTCAATACTTTTTCTAATCGCTCCTCGACCAGTGGTTTTAACGGGGCCAGTGCAAATGCATCCACCATGGTCTCTCTAATGCTCGAATTTGTTGTCGAATTGCAGAAGATGGTAATAAACTCGTGCGTGGGTGGAATTACGAGTCTCTTCTTTCTGATGGGGTAACACTTCTTGGAAAAGCTAAAAACAGCAAATATAAAATTTGACCAATTTATAATGCAACCCAAGAAATATATAAAATTAGAAAAAATGAGTCGTGATTACTTTTGACCTACATTTCACTATCGTCGTCCGACTTTTTCGGATCCCTGAATACTAATTTGTAACAACAATCTTTCCAACCCGTCTTTTCAGAAGATTTTAGTTGAGTCAGTGTTGACGACTCGTTCCCGATGTGAATCTCGAACATCAAACTAAATTTCTTTCTACATTTCGCTGGGGAATATTTTTCGCTACTTATGTTTCGTATGGACGAATGGAAGGGGTCCAGTTTGGGGATTTTACAAGCTGGATGAGTAACGTTGCTCCCTCTCGTCAGAAAGTCTGATGAATATGACTCTTCCTCAGTGGACTCTGTCTCAGCCAATTCGCCCATGTCGGTTTCATCGTCACTTGGCTCAGGGGTTGTCGCAACCTCTTTGGATTCCTCGGGTGTAGGAGCGTTGGTTGGCGCTGGCGATGTTATCTGTGTGGGCGTCGTAATTTGGTTCGACTCAGTTTTTTCAAGTGTTGTAGATATTGCATTTCCTTCCGTGCTATGCTGAACGGGTTGACTAGTACTCGATTCATAGTTGTCTGGCGTTGTGGGCGACGATTCTGGAATTTCGTCCGGTGAGACAATGGACGTGTCAGGGGGAGAAGTTTCAGTACTGCTGGGTGATTCTGGTGTAGGTATGGACAAAAGGACATCGGTAATCGATTTATATATATATATACGTATATTTTTATTCATACATACCAATTGTACTTTGATCAACGGCTTGACTCTGTTCCGTGGTAAACGGATTCTGTGGCACAACTACCATAATTTCCCCGAATGGTGGCAGTTGAAACACGTTGATGGAGACCAGATAAGTAATGACGGAGAGGAGGACGAGAGCTCCGAACAGCAATTTGTGCCGGTGTCGATGGTAAGTTCCATTAGGCGACCTGCTCCTCCTCTGGTGATGTGAACCACTCCTTTCGTCAGTGTCGCAGTCCAACAACAGTGCTTCCGACTCTGGCGACATTTAACTCCCTTTTCGTGTTTGTATATATGTATTCTTAACTGGCATCAAACAAAACTAGGCAATCAGTTAAGGTCATACTTCTCTTGTCACTCATGCCAAGGGTCAACTTATTCCAGGAAACTATCTAAAACTACCTGTCACAACGTTTTGACGGAACTATACACGGATCACTACAAAAAACTAACGATACACAACGTCACACGTGTCACCTGCGACAGAATTAAATAGACACCGAATGCTAATAACCATTATCCAGGATTAACAATCCGATGAAAAAATATATTTGTGCAGAAAACTAGGTTTATTATCGATTTGGCAAGCCATTATTATTGGATAATTCAAAAGTTTATTTTTCCCTTGCGTGTTGTACCGGTTGTACCACAAAAGTTGTAGGCCGTCAATAGTTCCTGATCAATGATACAAATAAATCGTGTCAAACGAAGTGAGCAAAGTATGAAAATCAATTTTATTGGGATGCGTGATGAAATGAACGTTACACGTTTTTTTATTTCAACTAAATACGTGTATGAGACGAAGAGTTGCTGAAATACTGTTCTTATTTTTTTTCTTTTGACAATCATAACATGACGTTTGTTTACCAATAACTAGTGAGCATTTTGCAAATACAATGATTTAACAATGCATTTGTTGAACAAATGTGCACTTGACATTTTTACTGGTTACGTACACTCGTCAAACGAATCTGAATGAAAAAGTTGTAATATTTTTAATTATGTGTAAAATGTCGAATTTGATTTTAAACATTGATCAATTTCCTACAATTTGAAAGCGACGATTTTAGCGTGGACTAATGTTTTAGGTATTTAACAAAAACTTATTTGCAGCTATTTTAAAGTATTCAGTGAAAATGGTACCGTTTAAGATAAGTGTGCCTGCATCATTAACAACATTTATTTTGGTAACTTGATGTCTACATACGTGGATAACGAAATTGGGAGCATTGCAAGTATGATCCGGTTGCAAACTAGATCCATAGCTTATAAAAAATTCGTTATTTATTTTGTGTAAAATTATATCCCAGAATTGTGGGGTTGTAGACAAGTGCATATTTCTTCGTATATCATGCACTACATACAGAAAACCTACCTTTTTCTGTAATCGTAAGCGATACTTACTCGTCATCAGTCTCTCATACAAATAGTGAACAATCTGATCTAACAAATTGCTAGTTGATTTTAAAATTGGTTTGGCATTTATTTTTCTGTAAATAATTGATCAAAAAGTCGTTCGCTGTACATACGTAAAATTGGTCGACATCAATCAATCACTCAAAACCGCTCCTCGTGAGCTGGACGATGTGGAGTTGTGCCAAACGAAACGAAGCCACTATTTTCCTACCTGAGTTTTTGGTTTTACTTAGGAGGAGAGCTTCACCACCTGCCCCTCTCAGATCTTGATGTGCTTTGCATATGTGGTAGGATCCTATGAGTGTACTATAACCCTGAAGTGGTTTGACTCCATGGCCACATTTGCGCCCGCCACACCCACTCAAAGAGATGAAAACCACAAAAGTTACCAACTTCTAAAATCCACCAAAAATCCAATTTCGATCGGATTTTGATAAAATTTACATTTTTGTAATCCCAGATACTTGTTTGATCATATCCAGTAGCAATCTCAACTTTTTTGAAATTTTTGAAATTTTCGGGCATTTTCGGGCTGATGAATTATTCGAAAAAATTCAAAATTTCAAAAAAGTTGAGATATCTATTGGATATTATTACACAAGTATCTGGGATCACAAAAATGTAAATTTTACCAAAATCCGAGCAAAATTGGATTTATGGCGAGGGTTTGAACATGTGAAAACAGGGCTTTTTTCGTGTTTTTGGCGCCTTTGAGTGGGTGTGGCGGGCGTAACTGTGGCCATGGAGTCAAACCACTTCAGGGTCTTAGTACACTCATGGGACACTACCACATATCCAAAGCACATCAAGATCTGAGAGGGGCAGGTGGTGAAGCTCCCCTCCTTAGAAATGTTGAGCGACGTTCTGCACAAGTCGTTTGTATTTTCCATCAGAGTTGGCAGCTTCTTGGGCGCCCTGCCTGGAACATGGGACAACAGTGAGAGGCAAAAAGTGACACATACGAAGAGATCAGTGCGGAAATTTGTGGCTGCCGGACTCGTGCTCCTCTTTTACACTTTCTTCGCTGGCTCGAGATGTTTGATGTACTTTTTAAACAATGACTCAAAAAACAGTAACTTTTATTTCACCGGAATTCTAGTTCTCTGCTTCTCACTCGTTAATTTCGTAGGATTCCGCATGTTGCTGCAGGTCAATGAAATAAACCAGCTGCTCAACTCTTTTATGGTCTTTTTTATTCATTTAAAAGGTGAGATATGAATATATTATCGAATTTCTAGAATGATCAGCCAACTGTGGTGCGCATAAGGTTGCTAACTGCTTATTAGTAATTCAGAACTGTACTTGCAACGAGGGTTGAAATCTCTGGAGCTAAAGTCCACAGAGAGACTCGTGTCTCTGATGATACTCTCTTGCGCCATGTTCCCATGCGTGGTCACCGTGGACGCGTACTTCAATCCGAGACCTTACTTCCTCACATCCCTCGTCGTCGGAGATAACTTTCTGCTCAAACTGACCCTTCTGTTCGGACAAATGTGGATCTACAGTTGCGAAAATAGCGTTGTGGTCGCTCATGCTGTTACTTTCATCACTTTCAGCACTGCGACACATGCAATTCTCTTTGACATGAGGTACACTCAAGTCATCGCTGTATTTCATATTATGCACATAAACTCTTAGCGCATGAATTCCAAATTTTGACCGCATTTTGATACACAATTCTAGGCCAAACCGGAAGAATTATCAGACATACAATTCCCTCCGACGCCCACGGGATTTGGTTCTTTGCTATAAAGGATTTGCATATCTGGTGACCATTTTCAACGAAATATATCGAGATGTCGCAATGCCTGCTAACAATGTATTCACTTTGGTCACCGTCTTGAGTAATTTTGCCATCATTCGAAACGCCCACGACCATTCCGCCTACTTCACGGTTGTATTTTGTGCTCTTTCACTGTTTTCCGGATTTGCGTGGTCTACAATTCTAACATTCTCGTCCAAATTGAGTGTTATCTCTAACGGGACTATTAATTCATGGAAGTATTTTCAACTGAAAAACGCATCGGATGCCAAGTATTTGTCCAAAATAAGGAAGTCTTGTCGACCAATGCGTTTAGCTTGTGGGGGATTTTATTACATTGATCCCATTCGTGTGTTTCGGTTTGCTCACAGTATTCTTTGGGGAACGCTGCGAATTAAATTGCTACTTAAGTAGAACTATATATGCAAATATGCATGCAAAAAAATCTGCACATTGCGTCCATCATGTCAAATATTGCAACAAAGCGAGAGTGAGCAGTGGTGGAGTTTCGTGTGCGTTTTTCCCACGCCCTTCTTCGTGCTCATCAGCAGTATTATTATTCTCTATACAGTACAAACAAGTGCTGAAATTGACATAATCAAATACCCATCAGCAGGTCAAGGTTAGGAAATATAAATGCTATTTATTTGCGTGTTTGCAGTTTTATTTTTCACAATAAATACAGTAAAAAAATATCAGTCATGGTTCATGAGGATTCAATAGTATATTATCACGCCACAAATAAGAGACATTCCTACACAAGCTAGTAGATTCATCATGTGGATGAGTGGATTCTTATGAAATTTGCATTTTTCTACAATTATATCACGATTAGCCCTGTGATATATTCAAAGGAAAAACAGTTTCCACGTTTGACGGCAACGGAAGCGATAGCATCTCTCAACTCCAATATGTTAAGTATTTATAAGAACATTACGATCGATTTAGAGTAGTGAATAATTGTCGTCCTCTCAAACATCCTGCATCACTCGAATGAGATGACCTTGCCTTTTTCGTAGAAACGTGGTGACTGAAGTGGACGCCTTCACTGAGGTCACAATCCTTTGAGGATCCTCTGCTTCGCCTTCCTCTCCACCAAGTTGAAGAGGGCTCCTGACTTGCTCCCTGTCGTCACCACTCGTCTGGCTGGTGGTGGCAGGAAGTGCTGACCTACCTTTTTCTGGTGGAGGTGATGTCGGTCATAAACAATAGTGAAACAATAAGACGGTGCTGTTGATTCGATTAAAACGAGTTTTTAATTACTCACCACCAGCGAATTCAATGTCCAAGGTAGCATTTCTCCATTCCGAGGATCTTGTGAGGGGTGCGAAGCAAATTACTCGCTTCGTGTCTGGGGGCACAACGGAGACCAAGGTCGGGCCGTAGCTGTGAACGTTCTCTATCAAACCTGTAAACATTTCGCTACGTGTTTTTATTTATAGACATGTGAACATATTTTTGATAAAATAGTCGATATTTTCTAAATATGTTTCACTACAAATACTATAATTCACCTTCGTCGGCAAATGTTAGTGTTCCATCCGCATGTTCGAAAGCGAAAACGATATTTGTAGAAAAGTAGAATATGCTGGCGACACAACGAACGTGGACACGGTGATGTTTGGGCGATTTTGCATGGGAAATTTTCAGTATCTCTTCCGTACTGGGAACTCCACCGTCATAAATTACTGGGTGAAGCAAATAACAGGGAATTACCAATTTTAATGAGTAATGCATTACATGGAATTGAAAAAGAGAGACAGAAATACTCGGGTGACCTAATTGAAAAGTGTTGTTATTGGCCTTACACAAATTATCATTCGCGATATTTGAGGTCACGAACATTGTTTGAGAAAACTGGCCCACGGAGCAGCGCATTACGTGGCTGGGAAAGTCGTCCATGAACTCGATCGCTGTGCAGCCACGTGGGGCGTCCACAAACGGAGGAGGAAATGCGTAATCACATCGACCAGATTGGAAACAATGCTTCTTGATGTTGCAATCCGTAAAAGTTTCACACTTTGCCATTTCGTGACGAGGTGTCAGCCCAGATTTCGAGCAACAAAGGAGACGTTTGTGGTCTTTGTCGTAGGTCACACTGATCACTTCGGACCCTGCACGAAAACGGTTTAGTTTAGCATGGAATAAAACTAGGTTACTAAATGGAATAATGAACTCACCAAAATTGCTGTATTCCCAAGTGTGCAGAACCCTCCTTGTTTTCCGAGATTGACAATTGACTTTGAAATAGTTGGCAACCGAGAACAGTGGAATATTTGGTGTGATTGTAAGCTTTGCCAGAAATGGGAATTCATGCTCAAAGTTTTCAAAATATTCCACACGTCCGAAATCGACAGTATTTGGAAGCATTAGTTGGATTGGCTCTTTCGCTCTGCACATGAAACTGTGGTTTGCCAAATTGTCCATTTGTATAACCGTACCGTTAGGAATTACTTGCACTTCTTCATCTACAAAACAGAGGTAGATTGGTTAAAAGATGACAAAAGCTCATAAATTAGGATTAGTAGTAGATATCCAAAACTCATTAGAGTTAATTTTTGAAACTCACATTTTGGTGGAACGACCTGGATTTTCCAATTGCTTTCAATATCGTTAAATTTGCAAATATAGGTTCCGAAGGGGTTGGACATATCGGAAAGTTTTACAGAAAATCCATTTCTTGGATCGTAAGCAAATGAGCCTCGAAGTTTTAGATTTCTGGACTCCTTCTAAAAAATACAAGCATGATTCGTTACAAGAAATACTCAAAATTTAAAAATATGTAATCCTAATTATTATGCACATAAATACGTACAGACGACGTTACTTTGTAGAGACCGATGGTGGCTGCAGGGTGAGTGGTCGGACAAGGGAGCATAACCGTTGAATCATTGTCTGGAGGCTGAATCACCACATTTTGCAACGAAGGGAATCCAAATTCTCCTGTAATATTGAACCATTTATGCTTCGTAAGTATATAGTCGAGCAAATATTTTATAAATACATCTCGTTTTTCACCTTTGAAGTAAAGATGAAAGCCCGTTCGTAGTTCTTCTGTTGATGGATCAATCCCCTTACAAATATAAGTCCCCGTTTGCCTCTCGTCCAACCTACCTTGAACAAGGACTACGATGCTGGAATGCCCATAGGTCAGAGGGTCAAAGAAATTACCAAATGTTCGGATTTGTGTGGTGTACAGCGTCGGGGCCTGCGAAGGTGTAAAAAAACATTGATGATTTACTGCAAAGTTGTTATTACACTAGTCATGTGCATCGGTCTTATACATACACCAACTCCCTGATAACTCCACTCCACGGGGTACGAGGCATTGCAGAGGAGGACGACATGGTTAAACTCGCTCTCGTTACGGACCATGACCTGAGAGATGACAATGTCCCGAATCGCGGATCCCTCTCCACTCAACCCGAGAGGGAGGATCGTCTCTTCCGTGTTCCCCTTGGTGAGAAACACCTCAGAAACTGGTCTCTCCACTCGCACCGAATTTCCACCCTCCAGGTCACTCGGCGACGAACTAGTATCTTCTTCTTGAGAGGCTGATCCAACGGACGTGGGAGTTGGTGGATGTTGCGGTGGTTCGACTGTTTGTATGGAGGTTGTGATTTCCACTGGGGGCGGGGGTATGGTCGGGTCGGGTCTTCGCGGGGGAGGAGGAGACGGAGGAGGGAGGAGAGTGGGTCGAATATACACCGGGTAGCGGGTATTAGGTTGAGTGGGTGGCGGGTGGGACGGGCGGAACTTGGTGGGTTCGAAGGACGAGTAAATGGATGAGGGAGGTAGTGAGGCATAGTAGTCGTCGTTGGAGATCAAATTGTCAGCGTCGTCCACGTATCGATACACCTGGACTTCCGAGCAGCAAGACTGGCACAAAAAACTCAACACCATAATCAATACAACTTTCAGTTTTATGAAACTTGTCGTCCGTGCTTGACGAACGCCACTCATTTCTAACTCTTGTCTCGAACGCTGACCATTCGATTGCATTCGCAGATTTGACAACACGACCAACAGCCAAAGAAAGGAAGCAGGAAGGAATTGTCGGTGTGTTTCCTGAATGAATGAGTTCAGACGACTGAAACAACTTGCAGATTTTTCCAAGCAGTAAATTAATGCATTATTTATCGCGAGTTTGGTCATAAATCAAGTATTGATAAAAATAAAAGTTTTGTGTAGAATACATGAGATGAGAATAGCCTTCGCCCAAAGCTCATGCACATAAATACATACATACATAATAAGTGCACATATGTATCACCTCATTCTTCAACAAGTGTCGATGTGATGGGGTTGCTCTTCAGTTTACGTGTGCATGCATTATTCTGCGAATGTTGGATTTACGGAATTGGCCTAATCACCAAGATTCATTTTTGCTCACATTCTTTGGCCTCATCGTCTTGTGTCCATTGTTCTGTTATGCAACTGCATATAAACCGTGCTCATTCTGGGCATTTTCATCGCACGAAAAGTCGAGTAACTGAACTCACCTTGTCGTTGGCGTGGGAGTATTCTTGAGATGATGTACATGTGTAGTTAATTACTAACAGGATAGTCGAAATAAAGTATTATACGATTTATTAACTATTAACATGTGTGTATTTCATGCATATGTACTCTGAGGTCAAATGAATTTCAAACTCAAAAATAATTTTATTGCGAATAAATAAATTTTAGCTTTATTAGGAATGTTAATTTGAGTTTAATTATTCAGCAGTCGTCCCATAGACCAGGAATTTTATTTACCTCGATCCAAGCATCGAGTTTTCCTACAGACTCTGGTGAAAGTTCCTCCCTCCACGATCCCACTTTCCCCTTCCGCATGAAGTGCGTCTTTCGTTCGACGCCGTGAATGCTGGTCAACTTGTCAGTAATCTCGTCATAGTTCACGTACGGGTTGGTCCTCATGGACTCAAAACTTAGGTGAGCTAACAGTTTGCTAATCTGCTCCTCTGTGAGATGCTTGCCCAGAAATTTTGCTGTTTTCTTTATAACGCTTTTCAAATCCTGCGATTTAAATTTTGTTAAGTGTTTGACCAAGAGGAATGATAAAATTGAGCTAAGTCGTAAAATTACCCGTTTCATTTCCTCAAAAGTCAAAAACAAAATGTTTGACTGGTGTCTTCGATTCCAAAACTCCCGAACATGTGGCCAAAATGGGGCATAATTTTCTGAAAGTTTCAAACAGTAAAAGATTATTAAAGTCTACGTGGTTAAATGTCTCATGCACGATCCATTGAAACACCTACTTTGGCTGACGTCGTCCACAAATTCGTCCACAAATTCATCCACGGTCCCCGCGTATCCTTCTGTAAAGTTCCAACACAATGTTATAAATTTACTAAGGATATATAACACGGACTGGCAATGTCTTATGTACCCGTGAGAACTTTGTGGTGATAGTAGCTGACACAAACATCCTTTGGATTTCTTGCTACATATACGATTTTTGGGGAACGCTCCCCATTCAGAATTTCGTTAGGAAGGAGGTCAAATGGGAGGTGCGTTTTAATGTAGCGTTGGGACGGCAAGTGATGAACGATTTCCATCGATGTAAGTTGGCGCTTGGCATATTTGGAAGGCTGCTGTAGCTCAGATTCGTGGTCCCAAGATGCATCGAACCTAGAAATTGCAAGCGTTAGCTCAATCTATGCATGAAACTGAGAAGAGAAAGATTATATACGATCTTAAGGACTTACTCGAAATATGGGAATCGTACGGGAAGAATGGTTTTGGCACCCTCGAAATCAAGATCGTTTCCAATCAGCCAAGTCATCTCTTGAGTCCATGTGGTTCCTAGTTTTTAAGCAAGTTGGATTAGCGAGAGTTTTAGTTTATTAAAAAATTTTAATTCCTTCAGAGTACGACTTTAGCAGTAACTACCTGCTTTGATAAATGACATGACCCACACGTCGTCATTCCTGATGGCAAATTTCTTAATGTAATCTGAATGTGAAGAGTAGTGTTTAGGCAGGAAACAGATATTCCAATTCCCAAACTTTCGGAAGAGATCTTGATAAACGAGTTCTGAAGATTCATGGTGAGGATTAGAAGAGCTGTCGTCTTTATCTCCAGGCTTGATCTCAATGTATTTCTCCCTCGTCTCGTAAAATTCTGGCATTTTTGTAAAATAATTAGCAAATCGGAAATATGAGCTAATTCCGATCTCTGCAGATTCGGTTGAATAAATAATACCTGATGTGTGACAGCCAAAGTCTTTTATATGGGCGACAACGAAAGAGAGAAATGTCACATGCATGGAAATAATTTTCGCACAATCACAGCCAAATATTCCATATCCAGTTTGATATATGCTGCATGAGATACACAACGTCCAAGCATATCATTGTCTCCGTCAGAGCGTGAGGAAGGTGTCTGCCTGGAATTTCTGTCCAACGAAATTTTCCAGTGATCTCATTTCATTGAACTTATTAGCAACTCTCTATATTTGTACACATTGGATGCATGTAAATATTTATACGATGAACTATTTCATTACTGGTGAAGGTCCAGTGCAGTCTGGTGAATGCTGGGTTAGCAATGTGATGGTGAACCTTGCCCTCATCGTCAATTTCACCTCCACCATTGACCAGCATTTAAGCAATACCATATTACGAACGAATCAAGGATATGATCAGTTGGCCATTGGTACTCGTGATGACGGCGTGCCTTGATAAATCTGTGTATCAATGACCATGGGGAATACCTCTAATCGGTTCTAGACAACGCATCTGATAAGACGACGTGTGTTAACCACTGTGACTAAGCTTATCTAACAGCCAGGTCCATTTATAATTACCCAATCTCAATCAGTGGGAAAATTGTAAATGCCACGATCATCCAGCTCATGCATGGTTGTGACGGTGTCACCAGTGTCACGACGCCACAAAAATGTGGGTGTGATATACATGAAGCCTCCTTAGGAGTTTCTTTAATTTGCATGACACCCAAAATGTAGGCGCGAAGATGCAGTGGTATTTATTCATGAACATTCACAAATCTTCCATAAAAAAAATGAGCCAAAAGTCCTGCCAAACCAGGATAAATCAATTCGTTTCCTCTTAGGGTGCGGCCGTAACGTGGTCATCGAATTAATTTTTAATTATTTTCTAATTTGGTGGATATTGCCAATAAATGACAATGACGCCCGAGTCAGGGGAATAGTAGCTAACGATAAATTCGATATCAAGTGCATTGTATATTTTAGGGATGTATTTTTAGCCCGAGTCAAAGCTTATGGAACCGTCATGTCCGTCCGTCTGTCCGGCATGATAAAGTCAACACGGTTGAACCGATTGACTTAAAAGTTTTAGCATATGCATGTTGGTTAAAAACCACTTCTGGATAGCACACACAGCTATGGAAGTTCAAGATGTTCAAGGATTTGATGCCAAATGATAGAAAATCTAACAAGCATTTAAGTATCCACGGAGTTTGGTAATATTATGTTGGGGGGAGGATGAAGGATGTGACTGGACCAATGTCAACAACATTTCTCATTCAACGGATCAGTTTGGCAGTTTAACGCGGGAATGCGGCATCAATCATGGGAGCTGTTCCCAGTCAACGAGGATTAGAAGAATTATTTTATATTTTAAACGATATGTCATGTTATTTACACAAATCTTGTAATGGGCCGAATGGTGATCTCGGATCAAGTAAAGGTTTTCCCAACCCACCAACATCGAGTTTTTCCTCTACTCCACAAGCCAACCAAGTGTATTTCATACTTTATCAATGTTTATGTGAATAAAATTTGCTGGGAGGGAACCCATAAAAAATATATTATGTCGGCCAATTCGGAGAAAAATTTAGAACTCTGACTCATCTAGTCAGGGACGCTGTCCCTGACTCGGCCTATTGTAGGTTTTCGTCTTACTTTCGAATTTCTCGGGGATAGGAATCTCAACGAGTTTATTCGGAATCTTGAATATCTAAAACATCGTTCATGACGATTAAATGTGGCATGAACTATGTCATCAGAGTTGATTAGAGTTTCTACCATTAAAACTTACGTCTTTTTCCCGAACATTGACAAAATCTCCGTAGTCTACCAGCTTAAACAAGTATCCATCCAACTCTTGACTTTTGAAAAATTGTAGCTCAATAATTCGTTTTGTCCTCGCCATACGCAAGAAGAACAGCATCACCAATATCCTTTGAAAAGTCCTCGGCCTTTAAGAACCGTACACATTATTAATAACACAAATAATAGAATGATAAGAAGGTACGAATAGAATAACTTTATGTTTGTATAGTGTGAGTTAAGTGTAGTCTTCACTTCGTAGTACGAAGTTCGTAGTGACTGGGGAGTAATATTACTTACGTCGTCTTTAGAAGTAGAGTCATACTTCAACAATCCAGAATCAACAGCTTCCATTATTGTCCATGCTGATTAAATATTAGACGTTTAATTCCAAATAGATAAATCGGAGATACGCGTGAAGGAGATCATGTGCAATTTATTTATTTAATTAGATGAATTAAGCTGAAGATGAACTTTGAAATTCGATCCCACTTTTGAAACCTTTGTCCCATAGACTTCGATTTTCTGTCCAATCCAATCACTGTAGTCATATCGAGGATACTTTCCAAGCATTTGTGGCCCTAAATTATGTAAAAAAAAATTACAATATATTAATATATATATATACACCTACCGAGTATTATTTTCTTCCTTTCCCTAGCAAATCTTCGTTCAAGTTTTATGTTCCTTCAATTTTTTGTCGACAGGCTCATAAAAAGATAACCAACCCTTCGATATCAATTTTTTTTACTAGAGGCAGTTTTCTTTTTCAGTGAAAGGAGAAAAGACCAAACTGGTGACTAACTTTGAATGGCGAAGAGACGAAGTTGCAGGTACGTAGATTATTACAAAAATTATCACAAGGTGGCAGATGCAATATTATTTGTGATGGGATGTTTCACTTTGCAAATTTGACAAATTGCGACTCCCAATCAAAATCAGCGACCAAAAAACTATAAGAGTAGACATTTTCCAACGTTGAAATAATTAATTGAATTACTTGTAACAATTGTAAACACAGGACATGTGAGGAGGTATGTGAGGTATGTATGTATGTGCGTACGGTATACACATGTCAGCCATACACCACCCCTCGTTTTGAAAACCCCCGCTGACCTTTTTGAAACTTTTAATGCACTAAATGCAAGATCATACTGTCCTACTACCGATAAATAGGCTGATTTGATCATTTTCAAGTCCGGCCATTGAAATATTTTCTTGCAAAATTGACCACATTTTGTGGTTGGGGGACAAAATTGCCTGGTACAAGTGCCGTTGCTCAATTTTTTTAGTCTGCGGGCGGAGCTCGTGGGGGATGGACGTGTCCCTGGGAGAGCTCCCCATTGCAGCTGCGCCCTGGGCTTTCCGGCCTCTCTGGGGAGTCGGGCCCGCCCTGGCTTCGGCCAGAGTCCGACTCTCTTCCCGTCGGAAGGTTTGCTCGGGGGCAAAGCTGTAAGGGGAGAACCTTACGGGTCGGTCCATCTCTTGAATGCTCTTCCCACCAAGCAGACTCACCGGGTTGGGGGCTGACGGGGCTTGCTATATGGCGTGGGCGCGCTTGGCAAGTGAGAGGGCCCTCTACCTCCAACTCTTGGGTGATCGCGCTCTTTAGCGTGCACTCCCCTTGGGGCTGGCCGGGTTCCCGAGTTCGAAACCTTAATGGGGGCCGATTTACGGGTGCGCTCCCACCTCGTAAGGCGAGGGTAAGACGGTCCTTCCGGGGACCGCGGTCGCAGCGGCGGTGACGTGGGCAGGGTTTTCTCGGTCGGCGGGAGGTAGACCCCCACGGACGCCTTCGGGCGCGAGTGGGTGCCCGCCCGTGTGGAGCACGAGGGAGCGACGTCCTCGTCGTGTGCTCTGGAAACGCCCTTCTCAGGGCGGCCAACAGCTCCCACCATATAAACGGTTCTGGTTGTCCTACATAAATTTAAGTATACAACTAGTTTAAACCTGAATTGAACCCGAGACTCTCAATTTGAGAGGATGAATAATACATATCGAACCTAGAAATATGTATTTTAAAATATTTGTGGAATTTATAGACAGACATAAGGCTGGATATTATAATATCCAGCTTTTTAAAAAATTTTAAAAAATGAACTTTTCTGAGTTACGGCCGAACCCAGAAACACCGGCGTAGCCGTTAGTGATTGAAGAATCCTGCTGCCAAACATCTGATTCTTGAGTCTGCTGGAGTTCAAGGTTGCTTGACACTTTATCATAATACAATTGCTTCGAGAGCTTCAAAAACCTTCATTTTTGAAGCGCTAATTATTTGGGCCGTCGCTAACGGTAATTAAAGCACACAATTTTTTACCGGAACGCCGAAATAGCCGATTTCACATTTACAACTGCACTGATTCTTGTACCCATGGTGACAAAATAATTCGAGGGAACGAAATGTGAGTGTTGATAATTTTTTGGGTGAAAATTTGTGCGGCGCACACTGGAGTCTACAGACTCCAGGCTTTTCGAAAATTAAGGTTTTTCAGTCGTCTAAGCAATTGTCGCAACCTTGTAATACTAAAGTTGTCAAGCAACCTTGGCTGGAGTTGTCTAAGGGGCCAAAAAATACCTGCTGGTCGGCTATTTTTGGAGTTATCTCCATCAATCATGTCTATCTTGTCTCTAATATTGAAGTGTGGTGGGAAACGAGTTCCAATCTATCCCTTGACCCATCACGTCGTATTGCCGTCCTGGGTCAATCAAATCGTGTCTCACCTGCATAACTCTCCCGTTAACCAGGTGGGATCAGGAAAAGGGGATTATTACGTCGTAGAGAATGAGGAAGAGAAGCAGTCCATTACTGACCGAGCCGCCAATACAATGTTTTGGACGGAACTATTTCGAGGTATTATAGAAACGTCCTCTTAACTAATTAATCGTCACTGATTTGATGCAAACAAGTTTAATTAATTTGATTCCATGCTAGGCGCCGGTGTCACGATGGCGCACATCTTTAAGGAGCCAGCAACGATCAATTATCCGTTCGAGAAGGGTCCGTTAAGTCCTCGCTTCCGCGGGGAGCATGCCCTTCGTCGCTACCCATCCGGCGAGGAACGATGCATCGCATGCAAGTTGTGCGAAGCCATTTGTCCAGCACAGGCGATAACCATTGAGGCAGAAGAACGAGCGGATGGCAGTCGAAGAACTACTCGCTACGATATCGACATGACCAAGTGCATCTACTGCGGACTGTGTCAAGAGGCTTGTCCGGTCAATGCCATTGTTGAGGTTAAGCATACATATGTAATCATAATGAAGAAAGCGGTGATTTAATATTTTAAAATACTCATCGAACATGTCTGGGATTTCCAGGGACCCAATTTTGAATTCTCTACTGAAACTCATGAAGAATTGTTGTACAATAAAGACAAGCTTCTTACCAATGGGGACAAATGGGAGGCTGAAATAGCTGCAAACTTGCAAGCTGACCACCTGTACCGATGATGAGACTCGTTCCAATGGAATCGACACCAACTTAATAACAAACAGTTACGCAACAAATTTATTTACTTCAACATCACTATATCACTAATTCGGGATAGCAAAGTTGTTTATTTATTATAATATTATACTTTCAAAAACATGTTAAAATTTCGAAATTCACTACGCTTCTTTATGGAGAATTAATAAGGAATATGGAACATAAAATTGAATTCAGTTATCTCTATTCGTTCAAAAATTGTAGTAAATAATTCAAGGGAACAATTAAGCGGGCCGTTCATTACTGTCACCTCTTTAAGATTATGAAATTCACCAGTAAAAATTGCCTGTCAGAAATGACAGCAGTATTTAAAGCAATAAGACAAGAGATAAAATAACAAGCGTTTCTAATAAATAAGGGAAAAATAATCAGGTTTATATATTAAATATGTTAATTAATAGTAACCGTTCTCATCCTCCTCATCACTGTCATAACTATTGTCCATTTCTTCTTCATTTTCCTCATCATTTTCCTCTTCGTTGTCTGAAATTTCTCCTAGACTTCGGACTGATTCGCAGTCTTCTCCGGCATCATATGGGACAGAATCAGCAAGAGAATCGTCATCTTGTGAGTGAAAAAAGGGCTGAGAATCAATGACTTTTCCATCCAAATTGCGCTGTTTCAATGAACCAAGCCAAAAGGCATTTGCTACTCCACGGGATCCGATTGCTTCTCTGACTTTGAAAATTAATGTTTCCAGTGTTCTCTTCGTAGGAGGAACGTGTCGGAGCAACAGATTATCTTTCAGAACCTAGACAAATGTTAAAATCATGTACAATAGTCCACTTGTGATTCAGTTCCACTTTCACACCAACCTTAGAATGTTCACAGATAGCCTGAATTTTGCGCGTCGAATTTTGTAGTTCCCTAATAAATGCATGTCCGTCTTCAAATTGACGCTTCAATAATTCGGGCATTAACGGGACCCCACAACTGATAAAAGCTTCGATGTACAGTCGGGAGAACTAACAGACATTCATTTTATATCATTGCACAGTTAAGTACACAAATGTAAATATATTGCAACAAATTGTACATGCATTACCTTGAGAAGTGGAATTAAAATAGTAGTCTTTTTAAGTAGTGACGACACGTGCACCAAATCTTTCAACAGGTTGTTGGCACAAGTCCATTTTTCAATGTTCTCATCAAAATTATTTGGTTGTTTTCGTCGTCCCTGTACACAATTGTCATACAAAGGTAAATAATATTCGTTCCACAAGGCAGTAAAATGTATCACATCCAGCATAGTAAAACATTACCAATTTGTGCATATGCTGTGCGAGGCTTGAAAATATGGTCGAGTACCAGGTGTGAAAATTAATTTTGGTACATGATTTATACACGCTGTTGTTGGGTATTGCACAATCATCTTCATCATTGGTTTCAAACAATTTTTCAACAAGCTGTCGAATTACTTTCATTGGAAACAATGTAACAGAAAACCACGTCTTCAAAAAGAACATTATAGCTGACGATGGCAGTTTCCAGTCTCGTCGCAAGTATGATTTTATAGTTTTTCCTATTCAAAATTGGTATCACTATTAAGATGCGTAAACACAGAGGAGTAGAAATATCGGTAATTGGAGTATAATATGTGTGCATACCCATTGATTGCTTCATTTCGTCTGAATGGGGAATCAAGTCATGAATGGTTTTCATAAGCTTGATGTGCTCCAAAGCAGTCTCGAAATCATGAGCTCCAACGAATATATTAAAACTAAAAAGGTAACGCGATGCTTTGGTCAGTAATTCATGTTCAGAGTCCTCCTTCCCTGCGTCCATCTTCTCATTTTCTTGATTGTCATCCTTGAATCTTGAGCTCAATGTCAGTATACATTTTTTCATCGATTCGCGTTGTTTAACTTTATCTTTTTTCGACACATTTTGGAAGTAAGAATTCAACATGATGAAAAGGAGGCGAAGACAAGAGTCAACTGCTGGGTTGTGGAGGCCCGGCGCCGAAGTATCGTCCGAATCACTTTCATCATTCCGGTTTCGCTACAGTGAACAAGTGGTATTAACAAGGTTTTGTAGATAAGTATTATGCATTAACAGTTGAATCTCAACATCACAAATAACATACTGCAGACAGAAGTAAATAAAAATAAATAGGTGAGTACCTGAGAAGCATAAAAGTCCGAGATTGCATCAACGTGCTGGCATAATGAGTCAATTAGATTTTCAACAAAAAGGATTTTGAACTCGCATTTTTTATCCAATGATTGTCTTTTCATTTCCGATAGTAACAAGGCAAGTGTTTCTGGATTGAACCGTTGAATCTTCTGCATAGTGACACTTGACTGTGTCGCGGTAGACAGGTTTAATAAAATGTCAGTGTAATCCGGTGTTTCTCCGTCAACTTTCAAAGGGCATTTGATTAGAATATTGAACACTATTGGGTCCAATAATCGTAAGTTGGGATAAATAAATTTGGGTTGGATCAATTCTTCCAATGCAGTTTTGTTGGCTGTATTAGTAGTCTCTTCGTCATCTGGAATCAACTCGGGGTCAATATCTTCGTCGTCATCTTCATCCTCCTCTGTGTTTTTCTTCTTCGTCTTCTTCTTCTTTGGTTTTGCCACTTTTTTAGGTTTTTTTGTAGATTTTTTGTTTGACGATGCAGGCTTCTTGCCAGCTATATCAAATCAAAAGTTCTGAATCCAGGACGAAGGTACTAAAGCGATGATAAATATATGTTACCGTGTGGAATAAGTGCCCCTGAAAATCCAGGACCATTTTCGTTACTCGTTCCAGGACTGTCTGTCATATTCTTTTCGGTTCCATAAGCAGAAGGCAAATTGGGGAAGTGGTCGTAGTGTTTAACGAGGCTCTTCTGCAGGGCGGTTATATTGTTCAACCGTATCCAAACTTTAACCTTCATCTCTGGGTTGTCACTTTCCACAAATGCAGAAACGCACTCTCTAAAGTAATTTAAGGTGACAATCAAGTACTGTCCCAAATGAAGTCTTTGGTTGTAGTTTAAACGCTCCAATGAGTCTTTCTCATAGTAAACTGAAATATAAAATCATGCTTAGCGGCTTTATGCGAATAGTATAACGCGGATATCAATCAAATTATACCAGAATATGAGGGGAACAACACGGGACATCCAATCAAGGCATCTATATCGTCTAAATTATGTACACAAGCTTTTTCCAGCTCAGCCATGACCCTCATAAGGCATGGGACTACAAGTGGGCTCATTTCCAGTGCCCGTGGTTCCAAAACAAGTATCGTCTGATGATCTTGCTGCATTTCTTTGTTGGCATCAAACGTAGGAACAAGGTCCAAGCCGGCTTGTCCTATATAATCTTGAAGCAAATGAGCGTTCGAACTTTGGTCAACAGTCCACAATCGCTAAATGTAAAAATATACCATTATAAACAAAATTACGTGACAAAAAATTACAACCTAATTTAGGTTACCTGAATAATGCTTAATAATAACATAATACCTCAAACTGTATTTTAAGAATGTCTCGAAATTCCAGGCATACATTTTTGGGGAGCACCTTGATGCAAGATATCATCTCATCAAAAAAAATGGTGCATGCCTCTTCATCATTTTCTATGGATGACCACGCTAGGGCAAGTAATCCATCTATCTTACCTATCAAATAATCGGAGTAAGAAGCTTTATCATCTAATAAAATCGCTACATTGATAACCATACTTTCATTAGGTTCGTTAGAATTCAAAGCCAATTGTCGTACAGCTGCAATAGTTCCCAAAACGCCGAAACATTTTGTCCTTATGGTTGCATGTGTAATTTGCTTTCGTAAAAGTATCATGAATTCAGAAGTGAATGCATTTTCTTGTCCTTGGAAGCTTTCTGGCATAAAGGCTAAAACAACACAACAATCACACATTTATGTATCATACATTGTATCATGGATTTGAAATGAAACTGGTGACCTAACCTAAAATGGCTAAAATATTCATAAGTGCTTGCATCTGCCTTGGAGGATATTTAATCACGTAGACCAACGCACCCTGAACAAATAAAAAATCAATTAGATGGAGCTATCTGGAAGACAATAGGTCCTTGTCCTTGTTTGCTCGTTGATATTCTACTAACCATTAAATAAGAATGAAAATAAAGTAGCTTTTTAGGATCGGCTTCCGCAATATTGGTAAAAATTTTCAGTGCAACATCTCGACATGACGGGTGGCCGTTGATGAGAACGCTAATCAAATTTGACGTCAAATGTTGAGAAAGTATTGGTCCCAATCCAAGGAATAAATTTCTACAGCAAGGATATCAATTATGCATGCCTTACTCAATGTAGAGTTTGGTTAAACAAATAAATATTTAAAACTCACTTTGTTACTTCAATAGCTGCATCGTGACATTTAGACCCTTTTACACGTAAAACGCTATCCAAAAATCTAGCAACCGTTGGAAACAACTCATGGAGAATTGATGTGTTGTTTTCCATCATTTTGTCAAACAGTGCAATGGTAAGATTTACTCTACTGAAAACTGTGGAGAGGGTACTCAAGGCCGCTTTGTTTGATGTTTCTGCAAATATGAGCAACATTAACATGTCAAGTGCTGGAAGGTCCATCTCCATTGAGAGGTCGTCTTTGATTTGCTATATATAAAGCAAGTTAAGAATTTGTGAACTATCCATTATCAGAACCATATTGTGTATTTTTTCTATTATTGACTCACGATCAACCAAATTTTGACTATTAACGGATTAACAGATACAAAAAATCGGATTCGTTCAAGTATTTCGACCATCAGAACCTCCTCCTTCGGAATACCGTACTTTGGTTTGACTTCCAGTTTATCTCGCATTTCTCTAATCCCCTATAGATTGCATTAATAAACACCAATCATTTTTTGCAACTCAGATAATGTTTGGCGCATCTCATAATAAAAACAGCGATAACTGAACGAACCTCTTCAAGATGCAACGACGGGCTTCCAACACGAAATAGGAAAGACAAGTAGGCCGGAAGATCTTCTAATGGAGCAGATGCCATCTGAGTAACTGCTGATCGTAGAGTCTTCATGCAGTCTTCTTCAGGAACCACGAGAGATGCGAAACAGTCCAAAATCGTAGTATTTATGCGAGTTCCAAGTTGAAATATCTCCCTTAAATATACAGCACATTTACAATCACCGAAAATGATGTTAAAATTGAATTAAATTTCGTTAAGTTATATAGCACTCACATCAACTTTGGCACAAGAAATGGGTGATGTTCTGGCAAGAAAATTTCTGGCATGATTCGGATTATATGCATTTTAGCTGGTATAGAAGCTGAATCAAGAATGTTAAGCAAGTCCACTGCAAATGACTTGCCATCAACAAGAACTGGCAACCATTTCATTTGGTTTACGATAGTTCCTACAAAATCAATCTCTTCTTGACTGTAAGACAGACAGAATAAATTAAATAAATGTAAATATTATACATCACATATATGATCACGATAAGAACTTACGAGTTTGAATATGTAGCTTCAGAAAGAGCTGGAAGAACAACTTCAAGTAGAGCTTTTTGCAGAAGCGGAACTCCAAGCAAACATGCCAACAAACTGGGCTGGATACATTCTCTGTCATTCTAAAACAAATAAGCATTTGTCCATTACAAGTAAAATATATTGTTTTATTGCATAAGATAATTAATAATACAGTAGTATAAATAACTTACCAAAGTGGTTGTACAAGCGTGAGTCAAGTTGGTTGTAGTAGCAAAATACTTTTTCATTGACTTGAGGAACTTTGTAGCACCATCGTCGATTCTGGAATTCGCATCTGTATTGCACGTCATCCAATTATTCATTTTTTCTCGAAACATTACAACATCATGACCTATACACATAAATAAATGCACATAATAAATATTTCTGTTTATCATATAGTATGGACATAGTCTAGTTACACAAATGGTTTTTCGGCAACGTCAACACGAATCCACAATGATTTAGTGTACCAGAAAAGAAGGCATGACCAGAAGGAGGATGGATTTCTACAGGACCAAATCGCTGCGACAGATGGACACTTTGACTACGGACAGGTGGGTCCAGTCCTACAGCAGTACGGAGTGACTGTGACACTGGAGGTGAAAGAGGAGGTTGCGGCGAAGGTACAACATCCCTACTCACAACAACAGGACTACTGTTTTGATGCTCTTCCGGGTCTCCCTCCATGTCTTCAAATAGATTGCAATTATCATTTTCATCCTCTCTAAAGACAATGTTGACCGCAGCCGATGGAACCTCGATAATTTCATGGGACGTAGGACCAGGCGACTGCGATTGGTCTACGCAAGGCGTTTCAAGAAGTCGACCACGAACACCATCTCCTAACGCCGGCCGTTTTACAGGACTTAATTGCGACTCCCTCACATTGTTGTCGTCACTGTCGGGATCAGTGGAATCCAGTTCCAGAGGGGTAGAATGCCAAACGCTAGCATCATTTATATGAGAAGAGTTTAGACTCACCCGCTTGCGTTTGTTCTTGTAAAGGCCTGGCATTTTGATCATCCAACATACGGGACCTTAGTCAAACGCTCACTCAAAATACTCACTCAAAACCTGCAATACAACAAAATAGTTAGAAACAAGACAATTTTTACGATATAACCAGCACACGAAAGTGATATGACTGAATACTGATAAGTACTTACTGATAAGTACTTACTACTTTTCTTGACAGACTTGCAACAAAGTACAAAGTAAAACCTAATCAATTTTGACGGGTATTTATTTAGGAAATTTGTCAGCAAAGTGCAGAGTATGAAAGAAAAACAACTGACAGAGAACAAGTACAAGACTGATCCTGTTTTGCTGGGTCTCGCGGGCAGTGAGTTCCCGCTGAGCCATCACATCGCACACCGGCATCCAGATTTCTTCGGTTACCTTTTTCTCGTCACTCTCGAAACCGCACTTTAAACTTTAAAAGGAAAGAAGAACGTCGCTCCAAGAAACTAAACTACGTATTAAAAATTAAAGTTGATGTAAATTACATCCTGTAAATTACTAGCAAGGTTGCTTGACACTTTATCATAATACAAGGTTACGACAATTGCTTCGAGAGCTTCAAAAACCTTCATTTTTGAAGCGCTAATTATTTGGGCCGTCGCTAACGGTAATTAAAGCACACAATTTTTTACCGGAACGCCGAAATAGCCGATTTCACATTTACAACTGCACTGATTCTTGTACCCATGGTGACAAAATAATTCGAGGGAACGAAATGTGAGTGTTGATAATTTTTTGGGTGAAAATTTGTGCGGCGCACACTGGAGTCTACAGACTCCAGGCTTTTCGAAAATTAAGGTTTTTCAGTCGTCTAAGCAATTGTCGCAACCTTGTAATACTAAAGTTGTCAAGCAACCTTGAATTACTAGATTTAATTTAATTTACTTTTAATTTAGTTGTATGATTATCATTTTCAGAAATTTGCGAAAATTATTATTGCTGGTGAAATCGTTCACTCTTGAAGGAAAACTTTGAAATTAAATTAACTCTGTAGTGAGCAAGAATCTTGCTGCAAGATGATTGATACGAACAACAATAACGGAGGAAAGGCGACCACCAATTCAAAACGGAAACATGACTCGAGCATGTCGGCCAAAGTAAAGAAATCCAAAAGTAAGAACAAAACTTGTGTTAAAATTATTTATAAAATTATAGTGATGCTTTAATATTGAAATTTATTGATATAGTTGTTGTTCCGCCTCTGAATGACCGCGGCACTGGACAGTTACACTCGTTTGGTACTGGCGACTGCGGGCAGCTGGGTCTCGGTCATGGTGACAAGCTCTTAAAACGGAACTATCCGTCTCCAGTCAAAGATATTGAGGGCAATAAGGTAAATATAATTTGCAGCAATGACACGTCGCTATTTTATAGCAAGAATATTTTTCTTTATTGCTATTCAGATTCTGCAAGTTGCTGCTGGCGGAATGCACACTGTGGCTCTCGATGACAAGGGCAAAGTTTGGACGTTTGGATTAAACGACGATTTTGCGCTGGGAAGACCGACAAAAGAAGAGGAAGATTCCTTTCAACCTGGTGCAGTTGACCTTGGGGCGCGCAACGTAGTGCAGATTTCAGCAGGTGACAGTCACTCGGCCGCACTGACGGAAACTGGAGATGTTTACGCGTGGGGAACATTCAAGGTAAAAAATCATCCTGAATGACTGATCCATATAAATAATTTTTACCGTGTATTTTTATATATTTCTCACACAGGACATGAATGGAAATTTTGGCCTGATTCCTGGCAATGACAAGAAATGCTGGGATAAACCTCAGCTTATTTCCGACGCTGTAAATGACAAGGTCTTCAAAATCGCATCTGGTGATAATCATCTTGTAATGCTAACTAGCGACGGAAGAATATTTACTTGTGGAACAGGAGAACAAGGACAGTTGGGTCGTGTAGTAGACAAACGAATTACTAGATCACAAACAAAAGTCAGCACGAGAGGTACCAGTTTTCATAATTTTTAAAATATACTTATGTTGTTCAGATAGTTTTTAACTGTCAACTGTGTATTTTGATAGATTTGCTTTTGACACCCACGGAAATTAAAATTAGAAAAAAGTTTCGCGACGTCTGGTGTGGTAATTTTAGCACATATTGTCGAACAGAAAGATATAACGAGATATGGGTTTTTGGACTCAACAACTACTACCAACTAGGTAAGTGCATTAGTACTGTATGAATGATTAATGTGTAAGTTTGTAAGGGTATGTATTTATATATTCTGCACATATACATATATAATATATTTGTGTAGGGCTGGAAAACATGGACATTGTTACAGTACCGACCAGAAGCCCTGGTTTTCTAGGAATTACGTGGATTCAGATTGCTGCTGGTCAGCATCATGCCGTAGCTCTGGACGAAGATGGTACTGTTTTGGGGAATATCATTCAGAAATTGTTGCCGGTTCTGTTGACATCAACTTATTTCATGATTTGAAATGGTATAGGAAAGGTGTACTCGCTGGGTCGTGGAACCGATGGTAGACTTGGTCTTGGAGAGGACAACGCACCTGAAGCTATCTCCTTACCAACTTTGATTCCAGCTTTGACTGACTCACGAATTGTCCAGGTTGCAGCAGGCTTATCTACCGCATATGCCGTCGCCGCTGATGGTAAACTTCATGCTTGGGGTTGTGGAGTCAATTATCAACTCGGAACCGGAAGTACAGACGACTTATATGAACCACAACCACTAGAACACATGGTCATCGATGGGAAAAAATCTGATTTTAGCTCTAAAGCAGTGTACGTTTCGGCAGGTGGTCAACATGTTACTGTAACCATTAGGAAAACTGTTTAAACTGACAGAAAGACTGTCGTTAAATAAATTGATCGGTTTGGGAATTACCATTTAATTATATTGTGCCAGCTCCGCATAACTTTTTATGCCAAACTAGTTAGTTCGTTCGTTCGTAGAAATACATGTCAATAATTGTTGACATCCTTGCTCGGTATTCAATTACTTTGTGGATGATAATGCGTTATGCACCGCCAATGTTAGCAATTGTTTTATCCAGTATTTATCGTAATATATTTATGATTTTCATTTTTATGCATGTGTCCATTCGTGATTTATTTCCCTATAGTAAAGTTTTGTGTTTTTGCAAATATTATGATCATTTAAATAAATTCCTTAATTAAACCACAGATTTTATACTACATAAACTCTGTCACACTGACGCTACTACTAACAAATGGTAATAGATTTTGATATTGAATAGAATATAGGTTCACATAAGCGGTTGAATCAATAATATTCGAACTTTATTACTACTAAATATGGCTTTAATCTTATGAATTTAATTGCTCGAGAAGGTTTAAAAATATATTCATTTTACTGAGAAGCCTTGTATAAAGAGGAAAATCAAATTACAATTAATTCGCTATTAAACTCATGAGAAAATCGTGTAATTATTTAATTTGAAATACAAATGTACTTCTATATTTATACATAAGTATGTTGCAGAATGAAGAACTACAAAATATACTTGTACTTACAGCACAATGCCAATAACGGAACAATTTTTATTAAGGAAAGTGGGTCAGTTAAAAATGTAGAGAGCATGTTTAATTAAAAGAAGCTCTTCAATAACCACGTTCCACAAACAAATTTCTCTTTCAACTTTCTTCTATATACTAAATAACTTACGAATCTATTTATACACTCGCGTGCGTATACCTGACAGTTTGAGATCAACATTTGAACTAAATTAAATGGAATTCTACATAAACATTAGTGGCATTGAATTAAAACTACTTCACAGGTTTTTTGGGCATTATCTTCATACGAATTCGGATAGTAGTTCGTTTGTAGTTTCAATAATTGTATCGGTTAAATCTATACCCTGTCGAGAGGTATCGGGTCGGGCCGCCCCATAAGCTATAGTATTAACTTGACTGCAATATATCCAAGCGTGACAAACAGGTACACACATAATTGATTTACACGCGAATAATAATACAATAATGCATATATATACACATATATACATATATACACATTTATTGAGGTGGGGATCATACACATTACTAATTAATCAATAATGAATATATGTAAGCCCCCAGTCCAAGGTTTTGTACCAGCTCAAAATCAGGCCTGGGAACCTATCTAATTTGGTGGTGAATCTATTCATTACACTCCGCATAATTTTAATCCAGCACAAGGTACATACATTACATTCAGACATTGAGATATATAAATCATCTACATTTGTATACACAGATTATATGCAGGTTACTATTAACTCTTAATTCACTCTTTTACATTCATCTCCTGAAAATCTGGTATTTTTGGCTTACGAAATTACGTGCCACAAGTACAGTAAATAACTCGTTACGAGAATATACATTGTTGTAGTTATGAATATATTCACTCTTTGGGGAGGTTTAGATATATAATATAGATTTAGAACAAGTAAGTAGAGAATATCATCCACTAGTCTGATGGAGAATGCGTGGTAGACACAAAGTCATCCGAATCAATCGGCGACGAGTTGGACCTTTTGGCCTGACTTGAGGGCGAGAGACGATTGTTTTCCTGGTCGAGAAGCGTAGAGGAGGTTGCCTTCTCCCCAGCCACCACCGTCACTCGGACCTCTGAGGGCTCATCCTGAAAATAGTTCAACAGCAAATTGCGATGAGTAGGAAAGGACTGGTTTAGGACAATATTATTCTCATAAGCACCACCCACCATCAACATCACAGTTGTGCACAACTCGATGCTCTCCGTCAAACTCAGCTTTGGCCGTCAAGACGAAGTGGGTGCGGCCTGACCTGGGACAGGCCGAGAGCTGGGAGCGTTGAGACAAGCTCCTCCGTTCTTCAGATTTCCTTGAAATTTTACCTCTGAATAAATATAAAACAATAATAGCATACTCTTGTCTCTCACATAAATGTGTAACACGATTTTTCAGGCTTTCTGACACATTTTTCTTTTTTCAGCTTTCAATAAACCAATAGCCCTATAATGGAAGGATTTTTTAACGAATTCGGTCTTGGGTTTTACAATGCTCCTAAAATTATTCAATCTGGTACTGTGATCATAAATACTATGTATTTGCACGCATGAAATAATCTAAAAAAATTGGACCATGTGGACATGAAACTCATCTCAGCCAAGAAATGGTCATTAATAGGAATGGGTAATCCGATCCTAAGAAATCCGATCCGATCCTAATCCGTCGGATTATGTCGGATCGGATCAAGGTTTTTTCTGATCCGAGGCCGATCCGGTCGGATCGGATTGGTTCAAAAATCCGATCGGATCAATCCGATACTTCCCATCGGATTTCGGATCGGATTTCGGATTGTATTATTTGGATCAATCCAGCTTGCTTCCTCTATTCACCCGACTATTTTCCACCCACTATTTCACAAATTACGACAGATTTCAAAAACAATCTTTCTCTCTCCTACCTCTAACATAATTTGTCAACACATTCGTCTAAAATTGATTGGACAAAGTAAAAAATTCTTGTTCAGCTAATATTAATAGTCGCAATTCCTTGATAAATTTTCTATTGGTCGCTCGAAAACACTACGAAATAATCTGTCATGAAGCATTTTAGATTTTTCAAGCCTATAATATTGGGTGAACAGTAACTAATTACTAATTACAGTTGACAGTGAAGAAAATTAAAGTGTAGGGTGGATAAACTGGTCTATCTCCAACGATGGCCACGATCATAGATTGTAAGTTTGCAGGATGCAATCCCAGAAATAAAGTGATTGGATTACGTCTCTATTTTTGAAAAATTTTAAAAAGCGTAAGGGTCACTATTTTTGTCTAACAATGGAGGTCTCCCAAAGTAGTCCCACAGATTTGGACCAAACTAGCGTCAATCGATGAAAAATATAATTAGTATGAAATTTTCAAATGGAACTATCTGCCAATGCGCAGGTTTTGCGGAGATATTTTTCTTCAAAGCAGAAAAAATGCGCAGCAAATTTGGAAAATGAAACATTATCCAGCCTTGGGAGTGCGTTTTCTCCTCTTTTTATGCAAATATCTCCGTCAAACCTGTGCATTGGGAGAGAGTTCCATTTGAAAATTTCATAATAATTATATTTTTGATCGATTGACGCTAGTTTGGTCCAAATCTGTGAGCATACGTTAGGAGACCCCATTGTTAGAAGCGCACTGCTCAACTCTCGCGATGACTTGCTTCCTTTGAGGCTTTATTTCTTGACAAATAAATAGCTCAACTGGATGTGAGCATATTTTAACAATTTGTCAAAACTCGCCTTATTAAAAAATTCGCTACTTTGCTCAGAAAATCGCACGGAAGTGTACAAGATATCAAAAGTGTTCACATTTCACTGCGCTATCGATAAAAATAAAGCCTCCAAAGAAACATATCGTCATGAAACTTCAAGTGATTTTTTGGGTCAAAAATTGCGACCTTTGACCCTGATTATATTTTTAAAATTCTGGAAGGGCAGCCCCAATATTTCTGGGCTACCACTCTGAAAATTTTCAAGCTGATATCGTGGCCATTGTGTAAGATAGAAAACTCCATCCATCATGCAATTTAATTTGGCCCCCTATTAACTATTGTCTATTCAATATGTAGGGTGAAATTTAAATTGCTTTGTCGGTTTTTAGTAACCACATACTAATAGGTACATAATTAATTATTGAACCTTGTTTATGTATATGTATAATGCATATTGGGGAGTATTATTATCCTCTCTTGAGTAGGTATACATAATATGTATTACATATGTATGTAAGTATTGCAAGTATTAAATTTTATATATATATGAAATTTATCTATAGATATAACCATTTTAGTAATCCGATCCGATCCGAAATCCGTCGGATTGATCCGAATCGGATCGGATTGGTCGGTCAATCCGCCTCGGATCAATCCGATACCCGGATTAATCCGAGTCGGATTGATCCGATGACCCCAAAATCCGATCCGATCCGATCCGAAACCATTCCTAGTCATTAATTGTCTTGTTGTACGAGTCTATATGTGTACACATACCTTTCGTGACCACACCACTGACGTCCATCGCTTTACGGATTGTGGTGGAGGAGAAACGGTTCATGGAAGATTGGCCAGGTCTGCGGTAGGAGTCGGTCAGGGAAGTAAAATCCGTTCGGGTTTTCTGTGAAATATCCTGATGGTGGTGGGTCCCTGGTGGTCCAAACTTCCTTTTGTTGGTGTTGTTGGGGCTAGACTTTCGCATTTTGGGGCATATTCGCTTCACAAACCAGTTTACGAGCTTGATTTTCCTGAAATGTTGAAACAACAAAAGTTTTCAATTTACAATTGAGTTTTTCCATCAACTTTGATTTGCACGGAGGAGGAAATCTTAAACATTAAAAGTTTTTTGCCGTGAAAGTTTCTCAAAATTTGAAATTGAAGTTTATATTTTGCTATACGATTCGTAATATCTTCTGGGTACATCTTCACTATCCTTCACACGTACGGACGTTGCATAGTTTAATATATTTATTTTTTACACATCACTCATTGTCTGCTCAGGAGGAGAGTACGCCAACCTGATAATGACAGATCTTGATGTCCTTTGGATATATGGTAGTACCCCCTCTGAAAGCAAAAAGTGTGAAGCGGTTTGATGCCATGGCCCAATTTACGCCCGTCACACCCCTTTGAAGGCGCGCCCGATGCCAAACTAGCTGCACTAAAAAATTCGCCAAAAATCCAATTTTGTTCGGATTTTCATAATAGTTACATATTTATGATCCCACATAGTTGCTTTATCATATCAGATATCAATCTGAATTTTTTTGGAATTTTGAATTTTTTCAAGCCATGCCCTTTTCAGGAAATATTCGAAAATATTGAAAATTTCTGAAAAGTTAATTTTGCAACTGAATATGATAAAGGGACTATCTGGGATCACAAATATATAATTATTATGAAAATCCGAACAAAATTGGATTTTTGGCGAATTTTTTAGTGCAGCTAGTTTGGCATCGGGCGAGCCTTCAAAGGGGTGTGACGGGCGTAAATTGGGCCATGGCATCAAACCGCTTCACACTTTTTACTTTCAGAGGGGGTACTACCATATATCCAAAGGACATCAAGATCTGTCATTATCAGGTTGGCGTACTCTCCTCCTCAGTGAAACGATGATACTCATGAAGTTTTGATTTCCTGTTTCACCTTCACTCACGATATATCGTGATAGCAGCATAATAAATATTCGCCGTGTAACGTAACACATAATACTACATAACTATGTGCTCAAATACTTTTGTGGAAGGGGAAGCAAGCAGATCATGTTTCTCTACTCTCGTGACTCGTTGGTCAAAATCTAAAGTTCAAACGTTTAATACTTTGTTCGTGAATTTGCCTTTCATCGCTCAAAAAATGTACATATTCCTATCTAACAATCTCTCCTTCATGTATATCCAGCAACGATGGAAGAAAAGTCGTTTCGCAAAATGATTGCTAACGGCTTTATTGAATAAGGACATCGGATCTCCTCTGTGTGCACTGTCACCCGTGTGACTTCGCATTTGTGCACTACGCTAATAAGTCGGCTACCTGTCTGGCTGGTAGGAAATATATGAAATGGAATGAAAATAGCCCTGACCATGGCCCTGCTGGAGTTTAGAATACTATCCTTGTCAGTCTCAAATTACAAGAGAGTTCGCACTTTCACCTCATGTGCACTCCCTTTGGAGAGGAAGTGTGTTGACGAACACGACTCCTTCCTCCCAATAATGGCAATAATGATGGCTCCTCGCTAACGTCACTCAGCTCCATTTTAAGCTCTTCTGATCAGTTGTTCATTGTTAAGTATAAAATGCTGACAACAATAATCCTCGCCTTTAAATAACATGTCCTTTGAACTTAACATCAAAGCTGACATGACAAAATTGGTTGTTAGCTTAAAAAAATTATGGACGCGCTGCCCAATTTTTAGAGAGCAAGGTTGATGCAACGCAAATAATGGTACTGATAAAAATACAAGCATGAGCTAATACATGTCGAGTATAAATAAGAGGAAAAATGAGGCACCTCAGATTTCTGCCGACGTGCGTGGAAAAGAGACAGTAGATAATCGGATTTGCCTATAAGGAAAATTGAACACGAGTTGTTATATTAGACGTAAATATTTTGGACTCCTATTTGTACATCTATTTACACGTACCGCACTGTTGAGCGGGGATAAGCTCGTGAAGAAAGTGCTGACGGCCGTCATGGTCTGCGTCGGGGGGATAAAGTCGTACACTTGCAACATGGAGAACACGACGTAGGGGCTCGAACAGCAGAGAAACACTGGAAAACAACCAAACAGATCAAATTCACTCCTTTCCTATTCTTATTATTATTTTCGTATAGAATCAGCTTGAACTCAATAATTTCAAAACAGTGGCATCGTTGACTCGGCATACATATTTATTTATAGATTAGCCATATTTCAGTCACAGTTTCGTAATTCACAAAACTGCACCTTCCATGATTAACTACTTTTATGCTGTAAACTAGCACACTCACTTGTGTTAAATGTGGATATGCGCCAAAAACTTACCAAAGACAATCACGAAGGTCATTTTGACGGACTTAATCTTTGCCTTGGGAATTAGCCCTCGAGAAGATGCTCGTCTCGAATCGTCATCAAACAAAGGGTCCGTCTTGTTCGAGCTGGAGTTCTTGCAGGTCCGTCTCAGTATTCCGTCTGCGAAAACAAGTTTTTGGTAATACATGTTTAATATACCATTATCGCCCTAAAAACACAAGGTGAATGCGTCATGAAAGTGTGATCGTTGTTCGTTATTGATCCTAAAAAGAAAGATCCAAAGGGTCCATTTATTAGTTTCCTATTTTCAAGTTGATCGTCTCATGCCTCATTCTGTATTTAGAAGACATTTAGGCCTCGGACATGTTATATCTCAATATCTCATTTTGTCTTCCTTTCATGTTTCCCAAGCACTTTACTCTTTCTCTTCGTTGGTTTTGGAAACAGGTATTTTTTTCCATGCCTCGCTCATTTAACTATTTGTTTTTATTTAATCACAAATGAGAAGCAAATATGTGCTTCGTTATCAAGCTTGTAAGTCAGTCAATTTCACGAATGAGCGGTAATTATGTGCAAAGCATGGAATAATTATTGTTTAATGTTACTGATAAGTAGTTTCCACATCACTTCATCAAATAATTGCGAAAGTATTAGTCAAGAAAGATGGAACATGTCAGTAGAAAAGTGTAAAGCAAATGATGAGTTGCACTTACTTGAAGTATTTTTGTTACCCTGTGGCGTCAGTATGCGAGACTGTGTCCAAATAGTGTGGACCATGATTGTATAGCAAATCGTTATGATGAGGGCTATAAGTGAAAAAAATGGCAATATTTTAGTACGACAATAACGTTGAGGAAACTAGCGATAATTCTCATATGATGGTCATCTCACCTGGAATGATGAAGACGGCGAAGGAGACCATCGTGATATATATTTTCCATCCCAGGTCACTCAGGTCGATCCAACATTGTCTCATGATGTCTAAAATAATACACCAAGATGTCAATACTGATCACCTCACTTTACAAAGTCTTATACAGAATCCAACTCTGATAGTCTGTCACCCACGTAATATATATTCACGGCCAGTGCATATACTTACGTATGAAAGTAAAATCTGCCCAACTTCGCAATTAATTTAATATTGTCCTTATGCTCGTTCTTTAACCTAATCAGCAAAGTTCACCATTCATAAAAAGAAATGCTACACATCTACATATGTAATCACGACGTCATAAACTTTCCCTTCTGAATGTTATCTAAGGAAAAGGTAACAGGCTTTCAACAAAATTAGTAGTTTTAAGTGCATCATTAAGGTTTTTGAACTTTGTCACATTCATGAGTTCATGAGAAGTCAAATTCGCTATTCATCAAAACTTTATGTTCATGTCCTGTTCATGTCCTACCTGATTCCTGTCCCTGGGAACTAAAACTAACTAATCCTAAGACTCGCTCGTTTGCACATATCCATTTGTATTGGTAGGTTCAAGTTAGTGACCTGGCTTGCTCAACGCACTTTCCAGGAACATGTCGAAGTACTTTTTTTGTTATCTAGAACATGATCCACGCGAATATCAACATCATTAATTCGGTACAACTCACCTCCGTTTTTCTCGTTGATCAGCTCCTTCTCAAAGAAGATGAAGAGAATGGGAATGGCGAAAGTGAAGGATAATCTGAGAGGACATTCAAGACATTCATAAATACATTCAGTGGAGCCAAGCTGCTTAACTTAAGCAAACTTTAAGCACTTATGCTGCTTGGTACATTTATTGAAGATAGAGATGAGTGATTTCTTACCCCCATGCGGAAGCAATCAGCAGACGAGCGCGTCTCCCTGTGAGAATAGAAGGGTACAATTTTGTAAATTGGTGTGTTCAGATCAGAACTTGACAGGAAGAGCTCGTTAGGAGTGGAAAAAAGTGAAAAATAAATACGTACAACTTCCCGAGAACTTGAGAGGATGGGTGATGGCGTCATATCGGTCGATGCTGAGGGCGACGAGCACGTAATTTGAAGCAAAGATGACAACCACCTGTAAAGCGACTTGATTAGCTTCTCTAATTCAATTATGCTCTCACTACACTTTCCTCTCGGAAAATTCGAGTTCCAAATATATTTTTCCTTCGTCTCGTTGCGTCAGTGGGTGTCAAGGTCTTTGAAAATATACAACATATAAATATACACCATCCCAACTCATAATTTATGCATGGGCAGCTCTCTCAATTCCCATTATTCTTTATTTCCAGGTCGACGTACTGCCCTTTTGCACCACTGCTTAATTTCAGGAGGTTGGGATCGTTTGAACCAATTATAAAGCTCGCTGTGGAAGCAGTGGTGATATTAATTTGCTGCATTTCTTCCACTTTGCTGAAGAGCCAGTGAGCACTTTCTATTTCGCCTTGACATTCGCTGTACGATCAGAAATGCGCTTAGTTATCCGTGAAAACTGTTAGTGCATAATAGTTAATGAACAGAGAAAATCATAATCATTCCTCTGATATTTTTCAGCAGAGTCAGAAGAGTTTCACGAGGAAACCATTACCCACCGGGTTCTATTTTGAAACGCATGTTACACTTATAACATATGTCAAATATCAGCCCTAATACAGTTATTGCTACGACATAACAAATGCCATAATGACTCGGAAACTAATTTCATTTTCATGTTGAGAAAAGCAAAGGGAATATCGCCCACTGGGTGAAAATCGACGTTCAGATCTCATTTGCATTATTCCCAGAGCAAATGTACACCAATTTTACTCTGGACCAAGTAACTCAATTATTGTCAATGGTGGCACGTGTCATATTGATTTCAAACGCATAAATGAGACAATGCAAATGAAAATATCGGTAGCTTTAAATTAAAATTTCCTGTACCATGAAATTGTTCAATTACTGCCACAAGAAAATTACTACACATGTAGCATTGATATCGATATTCTAAACATTCCTGCCACATGTATTGTCCATTCAGTGCAGCAGTGTAGGAGAAAGGAAGGGAGTAATTTGGGCCATAAAATGTCCATCTCTCCGATGACATTATAATTGGATTTCTTTGTTTCTAGTTTTGCTTCAGCCATTAAGAATTCCTTTCGAGGATAGGTACACATTATTTTGATGGGTCGTGTAAAAGGCTTTCGTGAGTGGAGAACACTCAACTCCCTTGACTGCATTATCGTACAAACGGCACTTTTATCTAGAATCAAGAGCCCATCAAGGTCTATAATCAACTATCTTGTGTGACATAACTTATATCCATAATTTTGCATAACTACACGTTTAGCACGAACTAGGGCTTATGGATCATCGTGTCTGTTTGTCTGTACGATAACTGTAATCTTATATCAAACGATAACTGCCTTGTAATCTTTTCTGATCGAGTTGAACTTATTAAGAATTTGTGGGCTTCCATTATTTTCGAATAAACGTATTTAGGAATAAAGCACCATGGTTCGGGCTTAGCAAAGTCGCACTCTAGGTTTTTATACATGAAACCGGTACATATTTTGCAGTGCTTAATTGGCCTTGGAGGAGTTATGAGTATAATAAAATAGACGGGGAATAAAAATGCCACCGGGTTTGCATAAAATGTTTCCCAAGTATTACGAGAACCTGTTCAAATTGTATCAAGATTTTTTCGAGGACACGCTGCACCTCGGCCTCTCGCCCCACAAACTTTCCCTCTCCAAACCAAACACCAAAGTCCATTCCAACTCCGTGGGAGAGATAGGATTGGAAGGAACTTTCACTTTCAGTGCCAAAGGGCAGCATTTCCGGATGCTCAACCAAGTGTTCCTCTACTGGATTCTCCTCTGCCACTGCTTTCTCTTCGCTACAACCATGGATTTGGAGAAGCTTGATGACATTGGTGAGAAATCCAAGCTTTTAATGAACGTGTCGTGGATCAATGGCATCCTCCTCTGCGCCGCAATCATATCCGGCAAATTGGTGCACCGAGATGCAATCGGAAACATGTTGACTCATTGGGTTCGCTTGGAATTTGATATCATTGGTAAGTAAATAAGCACGAAGTCTTTATGTCGTGCATGCACTGTAAATACAGACTGGCACCATCGTCTGTTTTACAATATGGGCTCGACGGTGTGGACAAATTAGTTACATACTCGTTATTTTTAGCTACTTTACTATTATGAATACGTAGGAAAGGAGGCAAGCCTAGTGAAGAATCAGATGCAGTACGTCTCCTTGCACATCAAGTGTTACAAAGCATTGTGGAAGTCCAACGTAGTGTCGATGGCCCTCTTGGCCTTCCTCCGCCCCAGATTTTCCCCATTCATGAACAATTTGGTGGCCACTGAGGATTCCCAGAGTGTTAAGGGCTACACCGTCTACGTTCTGTCCGGAGTGGCGGAAACCTACTTGATGATCATGGGATGGGGCGTAATCCTGGAGTTTGACGTCGTCCTCACCACAATCTGTCACAGCATTTCCCTCTGTCTCAGGAAAATTCGGCATGATCTCACCTCGGAATCTGGTTTTGGTGGACGTGGGGAGGCTGTGGAAAATGGGCTGGATCGTTACAAAAGCTTACACTCGCTGGTGCTGAAGATGAACGTGATTTACTCATTGACCATCGCAATTCAAAAAGCCATTGCAATTGTCATCATGGGCATCTCCCTCTACGCCATGCTCAACATGAGCCGCTCGCCAGTCGTGTTCTACCTCTTTTGCAACATGTTTGTCAGCTTCAACTTCAAAATTCTGGTGGTTTTTATTCCCGTTGGGCTCATCGTGACAGAGTCCAAGAGGGTCGTGGGAAGCGTAATGGGCCGATTCTCTCAAACTTTCACCAGGCGGACGGCATTTCGAGCGAGAGCGTTGCGAAGAGAGATGCGCTGTTTGCGGAACCTCAGAGTATTTTGTTGGCACTTTTACACAATCACACCCACTGCCGTCCTCGCCTACCTTTCCTTCGTTACGAGCTACATGGTCATGTTCTTCGAGTCCTAGGGATTCGCGTAAAATGGGATTTTTTGCCGGTCCCTATTCCTCGCTCCTAATGCGAAACAATCGAATTGAAAATGTCGATACACTTATTATTTCATTTTCACTAACAAACAATACCAGCAAAAATGTGAGAATAACTAGCACGAATTTCTCGGGGAAAGTCTAATAGTTACGCCACACAAAAGATGAGATGAGCTGTCCATAATGCAATGTTATTAAATTTGGAAAATTGGGGATAAAATTCTCTTTAGATCCATATTGCCATAATGCGCAATGGGTTTTACCCGAGATATCGGAGGAACGCATACCCAGCGTAAAATAAAAATGGGTACAATCATGTCTCATTTCCTAGGACAATACATTCACCCGGATCAGAATATGATAAAATTACTCAATTGTTCCAAACAAATCCAACCATTTAGGTTGAAACATGCCCCATGCAATTCAATTCTGAGCCCGTTTGGCACCCGTTAAATGACACACGCAGTGTATCCATTTCCTCGTTGAGGAAAACCATGCAGTGTTTCGGGCGTTATCCAAAATAAAATCGAATCGTGCCATTTTCCAAAAACAGCGTCGTCTCGTCCGTTTCAAAAGTAATGGACATATTCATATCGAGCAAACAAGAGGAATATGAATTGGATAGCGTCGAGCAAAAATGTTTACTCGAAATGTTTCTGGTATTTTGACCTGTGAGCTGAGTGGGATTTATACATGAGCGAATTTGAATGAGAAATCTGACTTTCCCAAGAAATATTCGCCCATGTTTTGCGGTGCGTTTGGTATTCATTCAAAATAAATATCTGTTTGAATTCTAAAAGCCACTTTGTTCTCATTCCCATCCAATTGATTGTGTGCTTAGCTCAACGAGATGGGAGAAATAGATATGCAAAAATCTAGTGTTGGGTTGATAAAGCCCGAGCCAGCCAGTTTTCTCGTCTCTTTTCTTAATTTCGAAAACCAGTGAGGTTTACCCTATATTTACTGATAACAACAGCAGCTTCTTTGTTGTGCATTAATTTGCCAGCATATTCAGCATGCAAAATTTCAGCTTTTCCAGACCAACAATTAGTTGCAGTAGTCCCCCCACGTAAATGACCCCCACTGGTCAACTACTAGACCCTTCTTTAAACTCATCCATGACCTTGTCAAAATACGTATATATATTAAAGACTACTGTAAATTGTAAGCTTCATTTCATATTTTTAGAAAAATCTCTGTTTGATATGTATTTGTTGTAACTTGTAAACCAGTCTAATCGCCTGAATGTGACCAACACTTCAATAAAGGTAAATTGATTTGAATTAAAGTTGGTTGAAATCGGTTCAGTGATTCGTCCACTAGTGCGTCACAAACGGACAGACAGACACGACGGCTCCATAAGTTCCGCCTTGGACTACAAAGCTAATTTTGGCGATGCTCAAAGATTTTCCTTTCATTCCACGAACCATCACGATGATAACACCCATAAATTGGTCAACTGAATGAATGCGGAGGGAGCACATAAAAAGAAATACAAGTCGCATTCCATAATTCAATTCCTTATTTTGCATAATGTGAAAGTCGAATAAGAGAATCTGAGCAGAAAGCAAGCAGATTTTTTCCACCAAGTCAACCACGTTTGAGGAAAATGACCGCTTTCCTTTTGGCTGAGTGCGAGCTCCGACGAAATTGCTTGGTCGCATGAAATGAGGGTGAAGGAGGAACAGTCTGTGCAAAAAGGGATCCATTTATCGAAGACAAAGCTCCCTCGCACAAGAAGAAGACTCGGTTTATTTTATTACGCTTCACAACATCAGAGAGAATGGGGGACATCATCCCAGTCCATTTTTTCATAACAACATAGCTCCATCCACTTACTGCCTGCCATTCCCTCAAGCCTCACTCCTCAGTCAGTGAGAGTTTATTAAATATGAAAATCAGTCGAGCTTCACTTTCTCCCTTGAAATGAATCCCTTTGTCAAAACACGTCGTTGATATCCCATTTGCCACCAAGTCCCCCTTCTCCGCCGCCGACGCCTCCCTGTTGCAAGCTCAATATTGAAATATTGCCTAATTTCGCAATTTTCTCCGTCACTCAGCTCCCCCAACGTGTGCTCTAATCTCGGGCTGAACAAATGCAAAAGTCACAAAACCCGATGGGAATATAAAGTCTGATTGGGATTTGGAATTGAACGAACGTGAATGAGGTTGAAGGAAAGAAAAAACTTGGAAAATAAACTTTCCTTAGTTCAACAGGATCCTGATTTGTCCTCGGATCCAATTCTCTCTCACAAAGAGGAGCATTCTCAAGATCCCACGGTCACCGGTGGACAGAGCCACTATTGTGTACGTACTAAATATATACCACTCCTTGCAGTTGCAATATTGAATGTCACATCTTATGTCACATCATGTCACATAATGCACTCCTGACGGATGATGCAACTTCAAAGAGGTCTAAAATTATACTGATTATTACAACATTTTCCAGCAGAGAACGAGATTTTTGTGAGCACACGAGTTGAGAGTGATTATTTATATAAGCGTCATCAGAAAGGTCACCACTGCTACATTTGTTTCGTAAGACCAATAAAGTGTATTTTAAAATACTGCTGCTGACGACGATTCACGTAACTTCACGATCGAGCTATGTAACTTTTCACTCTATTTTTTAGTTCATTTGAACATTAAAGCAAGATTTTATGGATGTAAGCTTATTAGTAGTTGACGTATGTATTTGGTCCAATCAATATGCACGTGCCAAACCATAGATATTTGATTCGGTGTAATTTCCGCAAATTTGTTACAAAAATGTAAAAATGGAGGAATGAAGGAGGAAATTAAGAGTTTGTCGTCTCAATCTTTATTTTTTGCGAATGTGCTCAGAATCTCAGATGGGAAGAAAGACTCGCATTAATATTCCGTTCACGAATATCCATAAATTACATTATTTTTCAGTCTAATTCCGGTTTGTTTTAAATCCGATTAAACTTTTCTTTTTATTTCGCTGCTCGCAGTTGGCCATCTGAGCATTTTTTCATTAGTATAATGTCGCGACCCTGGTTTGTCCAAGTCGTTCCAAAAGTCTTTGACGTTCTCATGTTATCTTAATCTAATTGCTCTATTTTTTTGGACACAAACCTGAAAATATTTGACAAGTTTGCAAGCAACGTTCCCCAAGTACCATTGACCAAGAGTCATCTTCCAAATTATGTCAGTTAAGACGTTCACAAGTCCCACGGAGAGATCTGAAAACAGAAGACATTCACAATTTAGTACTCTTTTTTCAGTTTAATGTGGGCCAAGCTCAAGCATGAATATTTTACACATTTTCAGCAATTCATAATTCATAACACGTGGACTTCTGGTGATCCTTTTTTAAAGAACACTGCCAATCTAATTATTCAAGCAGCCAATTGAAATTCCAACTCCCCCGCTCTATGTTAATTATTTATTTACAGCAGTCTAATTTGTGTACATTTTCATATTCACTAAATTGTATTTCAGGCAGCATCAATTATACAAAACTGACTGATGGACACAGTTTTTGCCACAATTGGCGATTAAATGTCCATTTAAGGTGAACAAGATGAGTAAGGCAACGTTCCAAAACGTACTTGAATGTCATGTGAACGGAGAGGTAATCGTGCAGTAAAAACTTGCTTCTCGTTTTGGGCGAGGAGCCCACATATCGTGGGAATTAGCTACACATATCACAGGACGAGGACAAAACCTCGGTATAACCTTTGACATACATGCAGCATTCCATGGACGCGGTGCAGAAGAGATTTCCACCACGTCGAGAAGGGACTGACGACGAGAAAGCCACCGTGACTGTAGCTGGCCGACTGGAGTGGAAAAGTGAGCAACGTGCCAAAACTTGTTCCCGACTGGAGAAAGTAAATGCTCAGTTTGTGATTTCTTTGCGTGTCGAGTGTAAATGTCTGACGGACACCACTCGGGTGTCAGTCAGGTGATCATTCAAGTTGTGAAAATGTATTTACATCCCGCAGCCAGGCTTATTATTCAGTCGAGTGGTGGTCCATTCAGGAGTTCTCTCACGAAACTAACTTTCCCTGAAATCTGTCTTATGAACAAATACGGAGCCTTATTTATTTTTAACTGTGTGCAAGAGGATGAAAATGCCTTTCAAATTTTAAAGTGGTGCTCAAACAGACATATTTACTGAGCCGAGTGAAGATCTTTGTTTCAGTCTATGCGTCCTCGTCCTTCGCCACACAAATAAGTGCATTATCTGCCCAAAACTAAAATATCAAACGGAACTATGACTATAAATAGGGCATGATTTTCGTATATACCCAAGACTTGAATAATCTTCAGAAAAAATAACGATGCGGAAATTTAGAACGAACACAGGAAAACATTCAATCAATTTAAAGCGGGGAAAGTTGTTGTTGCACTGAGCATGTTGACATGGCTTTCTCCGAGTGTATGTAAGGGAGGTTGCCCTTGAGTGAAACAAGGTTAGGCAAATCCAGGCTCGGAATAAATAGCAGAGTTTGTTGTCTCAATTTGGATGAAGAGGGAATTTGGAGCACTACGCCGACCGGAAGGAAATTCAGATCTCAACTCTGAACTCTTTGGAATGAGTGAGGAATGGGAATGGGAAACGATTTCAGGCAATGAATCACTTTATTGACTCCCAATCTGCTCTCAGTCTCTCGCCACCCACAACCTCGGCCCAACCAACTTCCCCATTCCTCAGGCATCCCGTCCTGCAATCCATCAAAGAGATAAATACATAAAACCAACTTTTACTATCCATCTGCGCGGACCAATATGATATCAATCCAGGCAAACTTGTTCTCCTTTGTTGCTACTTTTATGTGAATTTCTCCAACTTCTTGTGTTGCAAATGGTCAGGAATCCCCTCTTCCGGGAGCCGGAATATCTTGCCTTCATCACAAGTAGCTCGAGAATAGCCATGTATGCAATAAGTGAGTGCAATAACCTTTTAGAACCTGAAATTAATTACTACGCGCATAACACAGACCGACCTCTGGCTCCTGAAGGTACAAGAAATTGTTACAGCCACCCGTAAGTTTTGGGTGCAATCAAATTATGGCAAAAATTGCAAAGAATTATAGATGTAGTAAATGCTGGGGGAATAATTTCCAGTCTCTGGTGGCCCATATAAGAACCGATTTTTCCTCCGTGTGGGAGATTCCACCATCAGTTCATCCTCCTGCTAACTAAATACTTATGTAATGGCGAGTCCACCCCTGAGGAGCGGAGAAAGTACGACTCCTCGCCTATCTCCTCGCCTAACTTTTCCCACCGCTCGCTATGTGAAAACACATGCAAAGTCCGGTTCTGCGGAACGAATGTGTGAAAAATTCGGCTGCAATTGCACTGGCTGACTGACTGTATGGGGAACGAAACTTTTGGTCTCTTCACTTCCTGCTGGGGCTGAAGCGCGTGAAAATTTATGGCCACATATTTAGCCTCCCTGCGTCACTTTCTCACGAACAAACGACCTACTGAGAGATCAACGATGTGCGTCGCAAGTATTGTTTTTCCTATTGTGAACTTTTTGTCTTTCTTACTACACGTCGCTCTTAAGCGACGATTAAACACATTATTATTCCATAAGAAAACTAACTACTTTTCAGTGTTGGGCTGCACATTGCTAGCCTGCAAACGTGTCTGAAATCTCATTATGATCAGATTCCTACCATGGACGGTTCGTTGTAATATTTACTTATTTATCTCGACACTTGCAAAGAAATCATACACGCGTCAACTTGTCACAGATGAGGTAAAAGTGGTCCAGGAAGGGACTCATAAACGTACGTATGTACACTGCTTGGCTATCCACTAAATATTTCAAAAATATTTTAAGGTCACACAAACCTGTCAACGCCAGATGCATGATGAAAAAATTCATCCGTGACTTTCTCTGTGTCTTGGTTAGCATGAGACTCGCCAACACAGCCGAGTTTCCGATCACGATGAACAAGAGGAGAATCCAGAGGAAAGTCAGCGTCTCAAACTGCAAAAAAAGAGAAACAACATCAACATTAATTTTCAAGCTTTACTATTAAATTTGTCCAGTCGTCGCGGGTTGAGCTAAATATGTGCAAAATTAGCATTATTAGCGCATAGCTATTTAGAAACACTTGGAGCGAATAAACTATTTTGTTCAGATCACATGATACACGAACAATTGGAGAAATCTAAACGAAGAAATGGCTGAAATGGCACCTATTTTGGGGATGCAGCAAGTTGTCATTCTTTCTATGTTGATGTGCACGAAATAAATACCGAATAGCAGTTTATTAGAAATGTGCTGAGCAGTTGGAATGTCTTTCATCTGTAATGCATATGCAGATCTCTGTAACACGGTGTGTGCCCTCGATTAATTTGAGTAATGCAGTGAGTTCGTAAGACTACAATAAACTCGACAAATTATTTGTGTAGCTTCTCTTCTCCTTTCATGAAGCTTAAAACTCAATTTTAGCTAGTATCTAAGTAGGCCTTTCTATCCTGGAATGTGGTCCATGGAACGTACAAGTGCAATTGAGAATGAAAACTCTTGCTCTATTTTTAAGTATTTAATGTAAGAATTGCATGTTATATGAAAAAGTTCTAGAGATTTGAATGTAACACTTGTTTGCTGTAACTTGAACAGCAATGCACTTCCTGGCTTGCAGGGTTTGTATTGTTTCATGAAATGAGATTTACTTACTTAAATATTTTGGAGGTCATTATGGGCCCCAAATTTGTCATTCAACATATTCACGGAGGATTCGTGATGTAAGTTGGTACGCGTTTGTGGAATGAAATGGAGTGCTGAGGAGTAGTTTAGCATGGCTCGAACCCTTCTTTCTCCTCCCTTTCTCAGATATTCTAACAATTCCGAGTGGATTAACCGGGGACGTATAATAGAACTAAGTGAAAATCCTTGTATTCAAATTCTGACAATTTTTCATTACGAGTGTACTCTGAAGTCTTTTCTTCCCGAAATAGCACCCACAACTTTCAATTAGGATTAATTTCATGGTCTGAGAAAAAGTAGGAAAATCCTCCAATTTGTGTAAGAGTCCATTACAGAATATCAAAATATTTGTGGTTTGTCCTCTCATTAATATGCATTAGCTCGACTGCAGCTTAATTAGAAGCTGGCTTTTAGTTTCCTACTGACTGCATCTTGGTCTAGCGTCCAGAAACGGCTTGTGATCTCTCAGAGTCGACCCACACCCATAAATCTGCCCAAGAATCTCATTAGCACAGCTTCCACTTAACATCCCTTGATTGTATTGGATCATCAACCTCATTCATGATTAAAAAACACATTTGGGTCCACCAACTTCCCTCGGGCGCACATGCACTCATTTGTTTGTGCATATCAATATGTGCCTGTGTGCGCTTATCTTGTCTTGTATGGTTAAAACCTAAACAAAATCCCGCAGCCGAGTCTTAATACTTAATGCCCAGCCCAAAAAGGTTGAATAAATAAATACTGTGTTAAATACTGCCTGGATTTGTAAAATGAAATCAAAGTACAATTTCCACCCACGCACAAATCCGGATTTTAGAACGGCGGTTTATTCTAGCGGCTCAAAAGTACAAGAGCTCCCGCAAACTTAATTTCGTACGACTATGAGTCCAACAAAGTGTGCGCATCACAGAAGAGTGAGTCCTTTATGGGACGCTAATTCTACGACGTTTGCTTGGGCGAATGTTTGTGTGGGTGTAGAGAAAGCAGTGAAAGCACCTGTGACAGGAAGTTTAGAGCAACAGCTACGACTTTAAAAATTATTCTCAGCCCGTATGCCTACTTAACATATGCGTTAATAGTATAAATCGGATAAACGGCATCGCATTTCAAAAACCATAATTTAGGCATGGATTTGGGAAAAAAATGAGTATGGATGTGTTCTAGCAAATTTCTAATAGGATCGGGTAGTAAAACTAAACTACACTCTAAATGAAAGTTGTGTTAAATTTACCTAACTTTACATTTTTATCTAAAGTTGTGTAAAATTTATCTAAATGTGCAAAACAAATTACCAAACGGTTGGGTAACATCCAATTGTTGTGTCATCCTCCTTTTTTACTCAGATTTGAGGAATTTTATACAACTGTATTTAGGGTGATATATCCTGCTTGGATCATGCTGACATATGCATATTCTGCTAACCACAATTAATGAAAGATTACTAAAAAAACTTATGAAATAAACAAGGGCGATGATCCAATAACATTTACGTAACGATTTATTTGATCCTTTTAATTGCACCCTTTCATGACATAAGTAATATGACTTTTCGGTCTGGTTTGTAGATAGTGTATTTCGGGCCGAAAGTCGTCGGTTAAGTTGAACCACTCATACCGCATCCTTCCTTCCGACGCACAGTGATGAAATCTGACTGGAATTTGAATCTAGTCGTGCAGAAAATTGGTTTTCGTTTTTGGCAAAGATCGCTCAGTTTCCCTTTTATTAGCTCCCACTAGGCACACCAACAACGCAAATGTTTGTGTTTTGTAACACAATATTTACGCGACTGAATTTAGTCGCACAATAGTCGTGGAAGTGTCCGCTTGCAAAAAACAAGTACTAACACCCACCTCCCTACTCCTGGCTTCTATTCCATCTCGTTCATTTGTATCGAATTACAAGTGAGGCATTTAATTGTTTTTGAAACACGGCAGTCAAAAATTCATACGCATTCGCTCCAAAAACCTTTACTATCTTGCCTGCATTACAAGACAAAGGGCTGGAAGTATAAATTTGTACATGCACAATGAGGTTTTGCAGATGTTAGATGGCTGATACCCTGCATCGTATCATGACGTGTTCAGGCAGACAATCGAAATTTAGCAAAATGTGCTATTACGTGTAGTACTACGCGATGGCATAACATTCCACTCCTGCTGCTGGGCACAATATTTCGCAATATAATCTGAAATGAGGTGCAAAATCGTAAAATGAGCGCTACTCCTGCGATGAGTCAGTCAGGATTGTTGTAATTTGTGCGGGATGAGTTACTCAATTTCGACGATTTAATCCTAATCCCAGCCAAATAATTTCACTGTTGGATTAGCACAAGTGGAAATTTCATTTCAGGAATTTCGAGTGGCCATTTACTTACGATGCGCTAGACATGGTTTCAGACGGTTTTCATATTACAATGCAATGCACTATCTTTTAATATTCGTACATTCACTTTGAGAGTCGTGCAGCATAATTTGAGAAACGTTTATAAAAGTGGAGAGAATCGAGTAAATTAAATTTGGGGAGCATTTGTCAATTTCTGGCGGATGATTTAGAGGAGGTGAAGTGTAAGAGCTTGGGGAAGTGGTTTCAAATTCCGACCGTTGTAGAAGCTATCATGTTGAACCATCTGGAGAAATCTGAAGATTTATTGAGTCGTGTCTGCCTCAAGTGCATATCTCAAATGCTAAATTAACTAGGACGTATTAATAATGCCAACTAATCTGATGGTTATGGGTTTGAATTCGAATTTAGTTCGTGTTATTTCAAAACTCTGCACGGCAGAAAGAGTTCAAAACTTGGGTCGATGTTCAATAATAATGTGCAACTGTTATCTCCTTGTCCCATGCACACTGCCACCAACGAACCAACGGCAGAGCGAAATCTGCAATTTATCCAGCTTCCACAAACTCCTCTGCTAATAAGCTTATATAGAAAAGCGCTTACGTAAAGTAAGTGCTCCTTCGACAACGAGAGGAAAGAGGTGTGTACATATTATTCTGGCAATATTCTGGCAGTATGGGAACACGTACATCGGGAAATAGACCACAATCCATCAGTGTTCGACGAATTAAAAAAATAAGGGAAGGAACGTTGGCATAAAAAAGAGTGACAACCACGCACGTAGTACGTGAATTCAGTCAACTATACGTGTACGTCGTACGTAAAAACATTTACGTTGCTAAACGCACTTCAGATCCGTATAAATTTAGAATAGTCTCATGTTTCGTTCGGAATGCAACTTGAAAAACAGAAATACACAAAAAAGTAGTGATTTCACTGTACTAAATTTGACTAGAGACAGACGCACACTTGCAGCGAATGGACGATTACTGTTGTGATCAGACAGCGACAAATATTCGATGAATCGTCCCTCATCCTCAGAAAAGCTTCTTCCACAGTTGAATCATGAAATGATGAAATGATTATCAAACTTTTCTTCAACTTGCTGCACGACATGACCAAACCAAAATAATACTTTAACTACGGATCAAACCCATAAAATAGACTCAAGTTGCTTCCAATTCCACTTTTGCCACTTGGCCCAAGAAGATGTGCTTTGTGGGTGGTTGAAAAAGTAAATGGGCGTTTCCTGTCATATAAATACCAAGCTCAATCAGATTGTGACAACATCGGGCTAATTTCTGTCTCAAATTCCCCTTTAAAAATAAATCCTCCATCTGTTCCAGTTAGTAGAGACGGAATTCTTAGTGAATTTATTTATATCCAAGTCACCCTATCGACCCTTCTTCACAGTAGCAAAAAATCTGGATGAGGTCCTATTTCCGTATTCAATCAGCTTTTATGCTCTTCGGTCAACTTTAACAATCCAAGTTTGACTTTTCCAATTGAGTTTTTGCTGGATGAGACGGATCATAAATAAACAAAGTCAATTTAGCCGAGTTAAGTTAAACTGGGATTTCCTCTCGCAATTTGTGAGCCTCACTCGACGATGTTGCATCTCGGAATGGATAGGGCGAAAGGGAAAGCAAGTTGATAAAGAGAAAACTTGGTCTGAGGTGGGAGATAACATTCGACATCTGAACGTGTAAATTGTGCAGGAGGACACAAATGGCGGAAAAGAGGACCAGATTCTCATGAAAGTCCACACAAATTTCCTCTTTACTCGTCCCCTGACTAAACTTTACGAATTCCAACAAAAATATTGGCTCTCCAGGATGACAATGAGACACGACATGGGGATTTGAAATATATTCCCTTCAATTCTCCTACATACATACGCACATATGTACATATTATGCATGATGGTCAAT